ACTGAGTACAACTCACCCTTGACTCGATTGCCTGACCCTGAGACGTGGATGAGATAAGGAATGTTGTAAGGACCGCAGACAAGCGGGTAAGGATGGTGGGTGATGTAGGGACCGAGAAAAACGGCAACGTTTTTGTTTATCAGTTCCTGCATGAGATAATGGTTGGCAAAGCCTCGCTTGAGCGTGCCGTAGGAGAAGATTAGGGTTTGTTTGGAATTTGTGCTCATGGCTGGAGAGAATGAAATTTGTGGTGGAGACTGGAGAATGGACGAGATTGAATCGCCTAGATATAAAAGTGGGTCTGGACTCTGGATTGGATTTACAGTCTGTGGGCAGGGCTGTTTTGTAGCCCATCTTCCAGGCCCATTTGGGTAATGGTACAATGGTGGAACTGAACTATCAGAAAGAGCAAATAATTTAGTGAATGGTTTGCGGAAGAAGAGATGTAATTAAAAATAATTTTTAAATATAAATTTCATAGTGTCACATCCGTAAATTCTGTTAAAGAAAGCGTGAATATTCATAATCGCTTTTAGGAAACAAAACATGCAGTAACTCAGACACTGGGATAATCACTGGAATACGACGTCGCCAAGACTGTAATGATTGTATTTCTGCTGACGCATCATCATTAACTCCTTTTTAATCTTATTTAAATACAATAATAAAAGATATTTATTTTTTAAAATACAAGTTTGTAATCCCAAAAATTAAAAAATAATTTTGTTCTAAAAATGAGGTAACCTTAAAACACGGAAATAAAAATATAAATTAAAAAAAAAAAAAAAGGAGTGGGCGTGCGAATGAGTTCAAGTGTGCGTGTGCGTATGTCTGTTGCATAAACACAAGTCCCTATTAAAGAAAACAAGATGTTTGATTGGTGAGACCAAAAAGTGTTACGTGCGACCAAATTGGAAAACGACATCGTCACGTGTACGCTGGGACATCCTTCCTTTCCACATGGCTTGTTCCTCCCACGTGGGCCCCCATCAATTCGGACGTATGGATTTTTGGGAAAGGAAAATGCCCTCTTCCTTTTTATCTAAAACAAAATAAAAAGAGTTAATTGTAATTAACTCCTGCCAGCCATCCAAATCCTACATGTTAAATCTCACATATTAGAAATTGTAAATTATACCATAATTCATGTTATAAGATAACACAAAAATCCTGTCACATCATGGATTTGAAATCACAGTAACCGACCTTTATGTTTTTAAAGTCAAAGACTTAAATGAATTTTAAAGAAGAAGATCAAAGCGTGGTGGGGTTTTGTTAATCGGAGAATTGACATCTCTTACTCTTTGCATATGAAATGTCTTAAGGAACAGAATCTTAAAGAAAATAAACGAATGAATGTAAATGGGTAAAGCCAAAGGGAAAGGGACCCGTGGCCGTGAGATTAGGGAAAGGTATGAAGATGAACAAAAGAATAATATATGTGTTTGAAAAGTTACGTACTTGTTATTCTAATATTTGCCTATACATTGTACCCCGCGACAAATATCCCGTCCATATTGCCAATCATAATTTTCTTAGGCGGCATTGCCAATTTAATCAACTTATCTTTGCTGCATCGTGCACGCCTTGTTTTTATCAAACCCCCATTTTCAATCTTAATGTTATTTTATCGAATAAGATAGCATTTTGGGTCATGGGGTCTTGGAAAAGACAATATTCATTTCTTATATCAAATATTTATCACCTTAAGTCAATAACTATAGGTATATTAGCTCTCGTACTAGTCTAAATTTTCTTTAATTTAGTATTTTTCAATCAATAATGGGTAATTCCTATCGAACAATTATTATTATTAGTTCATGTTCTATTTTACAGGTGTATCATTTGTCCGTTTATTAATATTTTAGCAAAACCCATGGCTATAATCAGAAATGCAGTCACACTATAATATATGAACCCTCTCAATCTTTAAAAAACAAAAAAGGCTTTATATTTTGTAATAAATTTATAATTTTGACCTCACAAAATTTTTAAATTTATCACCGTAAATGTTTTGAAGTCACTCACTAAAAATCCTAAGGTCCGTTTGGTTTGTTATTTTAGATAGGATTTTAGAAATAATATTCGATAGTTGAATATGATGATTATTACGAGGTAAAATTTAAAAATTAACAAAAAAAATCCCCTGGGTTTGCTAATTTAACTAAACACCTCAATATATAAAATTTTTATAAAATGAAAAAAACACCCCCACCCACCCACAGTGCCAGATTCTGGCCACCACCGCCGGAATTTGGCGTTATGATGCAGACATGTCGGATCTCGTGCGTCGATCTGGCCATCAACAGCTATAAAAGGCCAGATTTGGCCGTCAGCGACTGCCAAAGATATGGCCGTCGTTGACGGTCAATTACGACCATATCTTTGACAATAGCTGACGGCTACATCTGGCTGAAAAAGGCTAGATCGTCAAATTACTGACCAGTTTCGGTCATTTGTAGGCCATTGTGATAAATTCCGGCTACCACCAACGGTGATTGCCGAAATCTGGCAACTATGGGTGGATGGGGCTGTCTTTGTTAATTTTTTTCTGGGGGTATTTATGAAATTAATAAACTTAAGGGGTCTAAAAGTAATTAAAAATATAATAGTATTTCCTAAATAATTAAACAAACAAATATTTTGAAAATATGGTATGAAATAATAAACCAAACGCACCACTAGCTACATCATTGACTATAATAATATATAGATTTTTTTTTTTTTTTTAAAGAAGAAATGTGAAAGAATGTACACTTTTTTTTTTCAGGTGGTCTTTTAAAGCAAAGACTAGTTTGGTTTTGAAGCCTCGTGACAAGTAAGTAGCAAAGTGGGAATTAGTTGATGGTTGGGTTTTTATAAGAAGAAAAGTGAGTTGGCAATGAGTTGAATTCAAATGCATTTAGACCATTTTCAATATTCTAATCTCTCTTCTTATTTAATTCCCATAACATGATTTATTCACTTACTTACATAATTCCTATTTCAATATCCTTTTGCCAGCCTGCCTCACCCCTTTTCTGTTTATGATGGCAAATTAATTAGGCAGAGGATAAAAGGGGTTTTAAATAAAATACTGTTTGATTCCATTAAAAAAAAAAAAAAAAAGGCTTTATCAAATAATATTGTTTTGGCCCCTACTTCGATGCTCAATACAATCTGCTTAGTAATTTGTAAGGACTCGTTTGGATGTTTCTTAAAAAGCACTTTGCAGTCTGCTGAACAAAAGGATATGTCAAATGTAGGTCTGTCATCAAAGCACTTTCAGCTGGCTTTTTTGTGTTCAATTTCAATTATGTCCAGACAAGTCAGACCTCCAGATTCTGTTCACATCCATGATCCAACCCAACCCTCTGATTTCATTTTTCACGTGAAAATCTTACTTTTCCAATTATTATATTACTTATCAAACATTGATTAAACTATACTTATACTCTACGCTTTGTATTTCTGAAAGAATGTTTTCAAAGAGTTGTGCAATTATGATGAGTCGAAGTGAAGTTGAGTTGACAAAACCTGCAACCTAACAGGTGGTTCATTTTTGGTGCCATGAGATGAGAGGAAGCAGCAGAGTTTAATTTGAAGAAGATTAGACAGTTGGTGTGGTCTATTTGATTATTTAATTAAATAAAATGATAACTTTAATATAGCAAGAGTGTATATAATTTAAGTTTTGAAATATGTTTTTGGAAAAGAGGAGAGAATGTCTATAAAATGGAGATTAAAAAAAAATTCATTATTATTATAAATTTATAATTAAGATCGGAAGTATCTTGTTTATCAGGAATGCATGTGCTAAGGTTCCACATAATTTGCATATAAAATTGCTGTCATTAAAGATTAAGGTTTTTTAATATTCTTTTTTGGAAAACACTTTTGACTTTCAACCTAGATAAAAAAAATAAATATAAAACACTAAATTTAAAAGATGTGGTATGCATTAAGCTTAAAGCAAGAATTAATATTGAACGGAACCCCTCCACCACCACACCCAGAATTGCTTTCATAATACATTCAATCATTAATTTAATGTAAATTATTTTAAGATATGATTATGACCCGACTGCTAACAACAAATCTAAACCTTCACTAGAAAATGTTGTTAATATTATTATTATTTTTACTTAGTTTAAAATTAAAAGAAAACCCAATAATTGGCATATGCTCCACCCATGACTTTAATTAAAGTACAAATATTTGTTGTTTAGGAAAGTAACAAAATATGTAATTGTCGTAATTAACAATCGTAAAGGACATTTGAACTAATCATCTTTAGATGATATGAAATGTTGTCTTCATTTATTGTAAACAATGAAATCACTCTTTATTTTATTAATTAATTATACCATAGTGGATTGTTTTGACCGTTTTCAACTGTTGTTGTTGATTGATGAGGTTATGTCCGTAAAACCATAACTAAATTTAGAATTTAAATTAATTAGTTTTAAAAGTGGGCCAATATTTCCAAATTATTATGAGGCAGTTAAGACTGGAAGATTCTGAACTAAATCCACCCAAATCAGTTGGCATCATATATGTATATATATAGTATACAATATACATACCAATTCTATAAAAACATTCCTTCCAGTTATACAACATACAAATCAACGAGGGTAAACTCCAATTTTATTTCTGTAATGAATTTATAGTTATATTATAAGAATGTCAAAGGAATTTAGGTCCATTTTAATCAGGCAAGAATGATAAGCCATCTTATTGAACTATAACATAAGACTTTATCAAAGTTTCTAAATTTAATTTAGATTTTTTTTTTGGTTTTAAATGGAACCACATGTCCAGTGGGTCCAATTTAGCATTATGAGGCAGTCAGTTAATACTTGATTTACTTGAATATTCTTCTTCACTGATACTACCACCAAATTAGTTGGCATCATATCATCTCTTAACATAATTAACATTAAACCCAAAAGTTACCATAATTTAATTTCATAAAAAAAAAAATAACACTAATACTTGCTTACAATTTTCTTGCAAATTAGCAAATACAAGATCCAATCATGGTGTCACTCAGATTATTATATAAATAATAAAAAAAATTTATTAGTTAATTTCTTTTTAATATGAGATATATTTATTTCTCTACAAAATTGAAAAAAAAAATAAAAAATAAAAAAAAAGAGCAATCAACCTCTGTACATAGGCGAGCGTTCTTGCACCACCACCTTAGACAGCCTTGATTGTCTGAAAGCTTTAATCGGGCTGGGAAAGTACCATTTTGCCCCTTTCGACTTCCCATAATCCGACGTCGTGCTAACAGCCACCGATCTCGATTTCTTCATCATCACGCTTCTCTCTTCTTCCACGTCTCCACCTCTCTTGCTTTTACTATTTTTATTCCCTCCCTTCAACCACCACCAAAACGACAACGTTGGCGTCTTGCTTCTACTTTCGTTATTATTAACTCCATTTCCCATGAAATCTAAATTTTCAACGTACTTTGACTTTGACCGGAGAAAGGGCGCCGCCACGGATCTTGATCTCCGAAACGCTGGTTCACTCTCAATCAAATTGCTGACACGGCCGACGGTTCCAATCCCGGCAGAAAAATTCTCACCTCCAGATACTGAAAACCGAGAAAAGGACGATGAAGAAGACGACGATGACGACGTGGTGGCAGCGCTGCAAGCACAGGGACGGACGTTAGCGCAGTCAGGACAGAGAGAAGAGAGACGGTCATGGAGACAGGTCGGACAGACTCCAGAACGGTGACGTTTAGAAGGGTGTTTTTGACATTTCCAGACTTCCTCCTCGTCCAAGTAACCCACCGCTGCCATTTTTTTTTGTTTAAGCTTTGAGTTGAGTTAAATCGTTTAACGTGTCTGTAACTTTTGTGCTTGTGTTTTTGTTCTTCTTGTTGTTCTCGTTTTGATTTCTCTCTCTTGTGTGGTTTTGAGAGCGGGTGAGGTTTATAAAAGAAAGAAGTTTGATTTGGTGAGAGAAATCCAACCATGGTTACCTAACTGTAGTTAAAATATCAAAACCCTGGGTTGCAAAACGACATCGTTTTCTACTTGCTCTGAATTTTTAAGTCTATTTACAGAAATAACCCTATGATGGTATGATAAATATTTATAAGTGATTATCGAAAACAACACGTGGGGGTGTCAACTGTTGACATGTCATTGGTGAAGGTAGATATTTGACAGCCAGTGTTGAAAATAAAGGCTAAATTTTGCTTCGTTTTCATCCACTATATTTGACTATTTTAAATTTGTGAGATAAATATTATATTTTCGTAAAAAGGAGGAAAACGTTTTTTTACTTTATTGCCCTCCAGAAAAAAAATATTATTATCACTGTGCTTGATTTAATTGAGTATGGTAATGAACCATATGATTTTAATTACCTGTCTAAACTCTAAATCCATAAAAAAGAGCCTTAACTGTATTTTTAAAATAATGCCATCTCTTGTGGTTTTAAAATGGGTCAATCATGTTGTACGGACTTGAGTTTAAAAGTTGTTTCTTTCTTGTAGAAAAAAAGAGAGAAAACCTAGTAAGATTAGTTAAACTAATCGTATCTAAATTGAAAGATGTTTATATATATAATAATAAATTTCAGGTCGTCACGTTGAGTGATGTGATGAAGAAGAAGCAGTGGTTGTTTTGAGGTTGGGCTCAATGAAGACTTAAAGTCTAGTTGGATTAGAGTATTATTTCCAGAAATCTTTGTGGGTCAGGGGAAAATGAGATCTGATGACTTTGTGAATATAGAAGCTAGAGTGTTGGAGTCCCACACACGTTCAAGCCTATTGGATTATAAGAATAGATAATCCAACCATTCAACAAGATTTTATTAGGTAAAAAGTCATGTCCACCTCAAATTCTATCATGGTATCAGAGCCCAGGTTTAGTTGAGCAGCATGGTTGACTAGCAGGTGAAGAATTAGAGCCGACAATTACTTTCATCAACATGTATGAGTATGACCCAACATATGAGCTTGACCATGAGGGAGAGTGTTGATAGTCTCATACCGACTAGGTACGCTTAAGCCTACTGGTTTATAAGAAGAGGTAATCCTCCCATTCAACAAGACCTTATTGGGTAAGGAATCAAACCTACCTCAAATTCTATCATGGTATCAGAATCCAGGTTTAATAGATCTGAATGCTTGACTAATTCTATCATAGTATTAGAGTTCAGGTTCAATAGATATGAATGATTGACTAGCGGGTGAGGAGTTAGTGCCAAAAACCATCTTTATTAACAAGCATGACCCAACATATGACTTTGACCGTGAAGAGGAGTGTTGGAGTTTAAGCATGCTCAAGCCTATTAGGTTATAAGATGAGATAATTCTCTCATTCAATAAGGTTTTATTGGATGAGGAGTCAGGCCTGTAAATCTGGATTATTTAAGCCGAATAATGTTAATGGTTCTATGAAAATTTTCAAGTCACTAATCATGATTAAGCGCCACCGACTCTTTCAAAGCTGCAGATATTAGGTGCCAAACTATAGGGGAACATGGCAAAGTTATTTTTCATATATATTGATGAACAAATTTATGTCGTTATTTTGACATCAAAGTCAAGCATTAAATTTGTTGGATGCAGTTTCAAACAAGAATGAAACCAATACCTAATTAATTAGGCTTTTATTTCTGACCGACACATTAATTTAGACCTTTCTTATGAGAGTAAACTACTGCTTTTCCCACCCAAGGTTTGTCTTACTGGCACTTTTCACAAAAAAAAAGTTCCAAAATATGATTTTTCCAACCAAAGTTTGTATTTCAACCAATCGTTGGCCGATTCCAATATCTTTGCGACCCCAAATATTTTAAAATACAATTCTCTTTTTTAATCATCATTCACTTAACCCCCTTAAACCTTGCTCCTGTCGACCTCGTCAATCGCAGACAATCAAGCAATTTGTGAAACGCATAACCATTCCTTCTAAGTCAGAATCGACCAATCTCGACCACCAAAATTCAACTTGTCACCACCAAAAGACTCACTGGCATCTTCTGTCCAAAATCCATAACAGTTTAAACCGCGTTTGCTCTCCGTTAGCTGCCGAATCCCAAAGTGTATTATGGGCAGTAATCATAATATAAACTTTGGTTGGAAAAAAGTTGTTTACTCTTCTTACGAAGAATAAATAATTTATTACGGAAAGACAGAAGACCGTCTATATGTTCACTCATAAAATTTGAGTGGCTCATCAAATAATTTTGTGGGCTTCCATAATGGCCCGAATATTAGCCCATGGGGGTTTTTCACTTTGTTATCAAGACAGAACACCGTCTACATGTTGTAATTGGGCCAAGGAAATTAGCTCACACAGGGTGGGAAAAGCCCAACTGAGAAGAACTGGCCCAAGAAATGGATATAATATTACTAACACGGGCAAGGAAAAGGCACAAAAAGGAAGAGTCGAGAGTTGAGACGTAATTTGGTCGCACTTTCCCATCGTTTTCTCCTATTTGCTCATTTTGTGAAGATTCTTGAGTCTTGACAAAGTGATTAGGTGGGTGCAATGTTAACAGTTTGTGTACACCAATAATGAGTGAACACAGATTAAACATTACATGATTGGACTCGCTTTATAGTCATCATCTTTCACATACTGGTGAAATTAAGTGGGAGAAGATTAAAAATGAATGAAGAAGGGCTTATTTCAAATCATATATAGGTACCTAATGATAAAAGGTTTTCATCTTTAAGCTATGTTGTTTCTTTCACACCTTCTTTAATTGATTTCTTCTCTATAATTTCATCTACTTTTGTTGGCCTTGACCTTGACAACCAGTTTTCCCATGCTATTTCTAAGAGACTTCACACAACTATCGTAATTAACTTTCTCTCTTTCACACTTGAGAGTGTACTTCTACAAAATTATAATAATAATGAAGGTATCAATGTTGGAGTTACGAAAAGAACAAATTAAATGAAATGGGGATATGATAATCCCCTTGTTTTCTGTTCCTTTAATTCCAAATAAAATAAAGCGTTGATGCACAAACTGTCAAACTCTAAGCATTTACATCTTCTTTTCTTCTTCGTTTCTTGGAAGCCGCTAAGAAAATTGTGACACGCGTAATGCCTTGTTTCATTCCTTACAATTCGTTCACATGTGGGAACGTACGGAAAATACTACACTAATAATATCTTCTCATTAATTTTTTCTCATAATTTTAATATAACAATTCATAATGGGTCTCATTTGATAAATTTCAATTAATCAATTACGAATTATCACGTCAAAATTGTGAGAAAAAATTTATGAGAAGAGATTTTGGATGTAGGATTACTCTATAGGTGCGTTTGGTTCAGGGAATGTTAGATTACTGAAATTTTATATTACCTTGAAGATTACTAAAAATCTTTAGGAAAATATGTTTGATTAATTGATGGGTATGTTATATTAATATGTTTGGTTAGGGAGAATAAATTGGTGGGTATGTTATTTAAATTACTAAATTACCCCCTTTTTAAATATTAATATAATATTATTTTTATTATTAATTTAAATTGCCCTTTTTAACCCCCAATAGTTCAAATTTAGCTAAAACACCCCTGCTTATATCAATATGGCCAGAAACGGCCATATAGAAGCCTCCTGAAGCCTTCCAGCAAATCTCGGTCATTTTTAGGGACTCCGGTGACTTTCTGGGGGCGGTCAGTGGTGGTTGACCCGCTGTCAGCGGTGGTGGTATGTTATTTGTTTTAAATATAAGGGTATTATTGTCCAAAAACTTAATTAAACAAGGGTAAAATTGAAATGGTATATTAATGTAAATTTATTTTAAAACAGAGGCATTATTGTCTAAATTTTTTATTAATAAGGGATAGAATTATAACAAAAATAAGATTACTAAGGTAATCTTACAATACCTAAGAAAATGGAGGTAATCAAATTATCTCCAATATTACCAACAGTAACAACTATTGATAATGCAAGCTTACCGAAATCTTATATTACTTAACAACTAAACATGATAATTAAGGAATATAAGATGATATAACCCCAATAATCAATGGATCAAAGTGTACTTGAGACTTTTACTTGAGCGTGAGTTGAGACAATGAAAGGAACAAAATATCATAATTTATGAATAGTAATAAACAAAAATATGGGCGTCAAAGTCCAAGGGTGTCATAAGTAATTTCAGCATTGAAATAAATAGAAAACGAAAATTTAAAAAGACGACAAAAATATTAGAACAAGTTGCATACTCACTTCTCCCACCACCTACTTTCTTTGCAACTTGCTCCATTCAAATATCCATATTTCTCAAAATTATCACTTTAATTATTTAAATTATATTATATATTATATATATAATGCATCTTATTCCACTAAGAGATGCTTCAATACTTTATGCAACTCATAATAATTTATAATCCTTTTTCTTTAACAAAATTTTTAGTTTATTCTTCTTTATATAAATAAATGTCTTTCTAATTTATAAATAAAAAATTAAAATTCTACTTTTGTACTTATCTTTTTTGTATTATCATTTTCAGTTAATAAAAGGTTGATTTACTGATTTTTTGGGCCCTATAGTTTTCAGTATTTAGTATTTACAACACATCCTTATCCCTACCATTAGAGACTTTTTGACAACAAAAGATATTTGATCAGCATTCGGCGAGGTCCTAATAATTTGACATATCCAAATAGTCAATGTTAATTTTTAAAAATAATCAACTCTTAATAATTTGATCCAGTGAAAATAATCAATATTAAACATAGTCAAAACTAGGGGAGGTTTTAACACTAGAGATTTCGTGACAGTCTGAAAAATAATTTTGAAACTACAAGAAACGTATTATACATTGCAACAAGTTTTAAGCTATCTTATGAAAAAAAAAAATAATAATAATAAACTTACTTCAAAAATAAAAATGAAGAATAATAGAGGTAGTAATTGAAAGGTTTATCTGGTCGTCAATTTCAATATTCTGAGAGATTAATTGAGGTGTGCACAAACTAATTCGGATATCCTTATTCACCAATTTTTTATTTTTATTCTTTTAGTTACATGTATAGTCAATAAAAGAAGCATATTGTTTCAAAAAAGGGTGAAATTAATTTAGAATTAAATATTTATTTGCAACTTGCAAAACAATTCTATGTTTTTGATACATATCCAAAACGGTATGATATTTTTATAAGGCGATGTTGTTATCAAAGTTTATTAATTAAATTTATTTTTAAATAAAAAATGAAATTAAAAACCCTTAAAACAAGGATAAAAGTCTTCCCAGTTCCAACTACTATTACGTAATCCTATCATCACTCTTTCAAGTGAAATAGTTGAACCAAAGCTTTGTCAAATTTTCTATGCATATGTGTCGGAAAATTATTGGCTATGTAAAATGTTTGAACGAATGGGGTGTATGGTAACAAATCCACATGGCCGGCCAAGAAAGGGGAGTGGTAGAATGGACCCACGTAAGCACAATCCCGAAGCAGGGGTTAATGGGACCTACAGAAGTAATTATAGAAGTAGGGACCACATATATAAATAAAAAATGACCCTTTTAAAACGCCGTAGTATTTGGGGTCAACAAACGCATGGTGTGAAACACGCTAGCAATGCCAAGCAATTACTGGGTCATGCGTGGTGTGCCGTGACCGTGGCTTCAAAAGTTTACTTTGACTCTCTCTCTCTCTCTCTCTCTCTCTCTCCGTCTATGGCCATCCGTCCGTATTCAAATTCAACCCGAATCAACCGTCCTACTATTCTACTGCATTTGTTCTTTGCTTTTTCTTTTTTGATATATTATTATATAATGGAAATTTTTATTTTTTTCTTAAATATGTTGATTACAAAATATGATTTTGGTGATCTTTTTTTCAATCTCTAATCTTATCCATACAATTAACAATTTATATTTAATGTTCTTACAAGCGTATATTTTATTTTATTTTTTTCGTAAAATCGTTTAGTATTAAAATAATCTATTTCGTTCAAAAGTATCTAATTTTTTTTCTAATTTTATGAGAAGGCGTTTGGTTTTTAAGGGTTTTCTCATATAATTTTTAAGGTTTCTTTTTTTAAATAATTATAGGGGGTTTTGATAGTTTTTTCTTTAAAAATAGGTGAGTTTAATATTAAACAATCTTTACAAAGGGAGAGATAATTCAACATAAATGACTAATTTATTATTATAAATTAAACTTGGACCTGAATAATTCAATCTCCGAGCTATTTAAAAATCATTTATGCCTTAAATAAAGAGAAGTTGACTTTTCAGATGGACCATGGCCATACGAACTCAGGTCAAGTGTTAGGTGTTCTAGACATTAATGCATTCAATATTTCGAAATCCCATTTATGAATTAAAATATAATAATAAATTAGAATGATATTTAGTTTTCTATTAATTAATCACCCTCATTTAAGGCTATTAAAATTGTAAATAATAAATATTTATTTAGAAAACTTAAGCATTAATTTGATGATTGTATTAATTATCATCGTGATTTGAGTGTAGAATAAATAATAATGAGTTGAGAATCAAATTGGTAATATTTTTCCAAGAAATGAAAGCAAAAATATAAATGAAAGGATTCTGTGTCAGGATTAAAATAAAAAATTAAGAATAGATTATAATAAAATAGAAGATTATGGCTTTGGTAATGGCATGATTATTGCTGTCAATTATTGTATTGGTTTTTTTCTTTATAGCATTTAAAATGATAGTTGAAACCGAGTGTGGCCATTCATTCTCTCTAAGGTTCATGGGATGCTCTTATGGACCACCTACCACTTTCTTCCTTAATAATTAAATATTTTACATCTTTTAAATTACTAATTAACCCTACTTAAATACATTCTTTTAATCTTAATTAATTAATTAATTTTGTATATTTAGATATCTTATTATTACAAATACAACAATTTAGGGTTTGTTTGATTTATGTTCTTAAAATAATTATCAAAAAGATGTATCTCAATATTTTTATGTTTGAAAATGAGTTTAATATGATATTCAAAAATTGTTTTCGGATTAAAAATCATATAATACTATGAAAACGACTTTTATAATAATTTTTAAGATTTCTACTAAACATATTTTCATAAGATATTTTAATAACAAAACATTGTATTTAAAATCTATATTAAACATGCACGATATTATTGATCAAGCGTATCTTGATGATATAAATAGAAAAGGAATGTTGATTTTGTCATTAAAGCAATTAATCCTAGAATTAGCAGCAATAATTGAATTATAAAATTGGGTCGAGGTCTTCAATCAACTCATTGATAAACTTGAATGTAAACAAAAATGATTGATGTGAAAAATTGTCCAATTATCAAATACTAAATAAAGAAAGTTTGTATCAAGCATGATTTACATGTGCTAATATTTTTATTTTTGATAAAATACTAAACAATTAACAACTAATCCATCAACTACCATTGGGTGGGGTGGTATAATGATAAAAGAGCAAAATGAAATTTTATAAGTTCTTAAGTTCGAGTCCTCATAGGTCCTAATAGGAATGACCACTAAGGGGCTTACCTGGTCATTAACTTTAGGACCCGCAGATTAATTGAGATTTGTGTAAACTGGCCTAGATATCCTGATCACAAAAAAAAGAAAAAAAAAAGAAAAAAAAAGAGAAAAAAAAAAAAACTATCCCATTCTTTAATTCGTTAATTAAAGGTTAATAAGAATTTCAAAATTTAGGTAAAATGCATATGGATTTTGCTCTCTTATAGGAATGGCCGACCAAAACCAAATAAAACATGACTATTGCCAACTTAAAACTTTGATTAATACTTGTCTCAACCCTATACCAAACTTTTGTAGCAACATTATCACTCACTCCCCATTGTGAATTAGGCACCAATTGTCTTTTATTTTTATTTTTTTTAGGACACGGAGGTATTTGGGCCAAGCTTATGTGCGCCTCAACTAATTTCTTGAGATCCTGAAATTATCGGCTAGATAAAAATTCTAGTGGCTACTCCTATTAGTATCCGAAGAGAGACTCGAACTTAAGACCTCTTGAATAATACACCAAAAAGTCTCTAAAGAATCGCTCTGACCACCCAGAGATACTTACCAATTGTCCTTATTGTATACTAGTTGATACACCTAAATATTTAGAAATTACATTAATTCAATAATAAAATTATATATTTTAAATGTATCAATAATTGTATGTTTGGTGAGTTAAGAAAACATGTATAGATTAGATAGATACCTAGTAGCTATTCGTGTAAGTTGAGAGGAGAATAATCAAATAAATTATGAAGAATAATAAATTAAAAAAAAAGAGAAAAAATGATAAGACCGAAGTGGCGAAGTCTAGTGAAAATGAAAGAAAAAAAATAAAAAGGAAAGATAGAGGTGGGTTCCTTGCAGCCAACGCATTTAGGTTTGGTTTTAGGTTCGGAGTGTTAAGACTTCGTGAAGATAAGAACGACCCCTCTTTCTTTCTTGCCCTCTCACACACTCTCTCTCTGCGCCTCAGCTGCAGCCTCGGCCTCAGCCGCCTCCCTTCTCTCTACTTCGTCTATTTAACTCTCTTCTTATTACCTTTATATTTTTTCAAAACCACTCAGTCTCTCTCTCTCGCTCTCTCTCTCTCGCTTATAACAAAAACTAAAGCTAAAGTTCACTACTCTCTGTTCAAGCTGGCGATCGAAAATCAGGAAACCACTGTCCGTGAAATCAAACCCAAGAATCGGAGAATCATGGTATGCACAATGCGTGTTTGTGATGTTTTTCATTTGGGTTTTTTTGAGTTTTGGTTGTAATGTTGTTTGTTTGAATGATTTACAGGGTCCGGATGAAGAGGACAACAGGTGGCCTCCATGGCTTAAGCCATTGTTAAGGGAAAGCTTCTTTGTTCAATGCAAGTTACATGCTGATTCTCACAAGAGTGAATGTAATATGTACTGTTTGGATTGTATGAATGGCGCCTTTTGCTCTCTCTGCTTAGCTTACCACAAGGATCATCGTGTTATTCAGGTTTATTTCTTCTTCTTCTTCTTCTTCTTCTTCTTTTCTCTGTGTTTGGTTTCTGGGTCTTTTATTCCTTTACCTTTCTTGCTTCAATCATTCTTTTCAAATTGGGTTTCTTCTTTATTCGTCGAATCTTTCCGATCCTCTGGATTTTATACCCTTTTCAAGCAATTTGGTTTTCATTTTCTTTATTTCTTCTCTATCTGAGTTAAGTTTATTTCTATTTCTCTTTGTTTTGCTGAGTTGAAATGAGCTGTACTGATATAAATCAGTTGCTATAATTTGCTCTGCTACTTGTTTCTATCACATTAGCTCACAAGTTACTGATTTCACAGTTAAATCAAATGAAAAGATTTTCAACTTCCATTTTGTTATTTTTTCAGCAGCCAAACGGAACATTTTCAGCATTGTTCATTTGTCCCGTGTTTTTCTCCCAATAAAAACTTTATTTTTCTTACAGATAAGCCGAAGCTTCATCGATTTCACGTGTATTTACTTTTATTCCAAAGCAGCTCAATACAATACATCTCAGTTTGCTCTTTCGTGTTTTCCTAATTTTCCCGGGTCCCAAACAGTTCGTTTTCCGATTGAATAGTAATAAAAAAGAATCCCCTGATTTCCCCTTAATGGGTCATTCTGTTTTTGTAATTACCAATTGACTGAGGCTCCGTTTGGTACATAGTTTGGGAAAACTAGAACAATAAAGTTAAACAAAAAATTTGTGTTTGGTTCACTTATTCTCAAAATATTATTCTAAATTATTCAATTTCTTTTAAACCCCCTAAATTTGAGTTTCTAATTGGGTTTTGATTGTATTTATTGACAGATAAGGAGATCTTCATACCATGATGTGATAAGGGTTTCTGAAATACAGAAAGTGCTCGACATTTCTGGAGTTCAAACTTATGTTATAAACAGTGCAAGGGTTGTGTTTTTGAATGAGAGGCCTCAGCCTAGGCCTGGCAAAGGTGTCACCAACACCTGTGAGGTCTGCGACCGTAGCCTTCTCGATTCCTTCCGCTTCTGCTCACTCGGCTGCAAGGTACTCAATGTTGCGAATTTCCTGTTTTTGGTCGTTTGGTTGCTGAGAAAGTGTAGGAAAAGTAAGAAAAAGAAAAGGGAGGGTTTTTTATTTTTTATTTTTTCTGGTTGTCTTAGTCATTAAGGAAATAGAAAATTCAACTTAATAATATTCAATGAATGAACATTTTGGTTGGTGCGAGTATGTTGACTTTTTCATTAGGGACAGTGCCAATGTGAAGCATTAAATTGCTAGTTTTCTTTAGCTTTTCAATTGAAAATGAAAAGCATGAATAGCCTTTTAATCACCCATTTTGAAATATAGCCACATTCTGATTAATTAATTCTATTCATTCTTTTGAATGATTGGTTACAGATTGCTGGAACATCAAAGAATTTCCAGAAGAAGAGAAAGAATCGACTCGCAATGGGGTCGGATTCTGAGGACTCGTACAGCAGCAGCAGCCATGGCAAGCTCAACATCAAAGTTCAAAGCTTCTCGCCATCAACGCCGCCTCCAACTGCGGCTAGTTTCCGAACTGGCAAGCGAAGAAAGGGAATTCCACACCGAGCCCCGATGGGGGGATTATTCATAGAATACTAGTGTCATTATTAGTTCCTCAGTTATACAAATTAGTAGTTTTAACAATGCCCCTTCTACTGCGTAGCTTTCTTTAGTATTCTTGTATATAGAAGCAGCAAGTAGAAGTAAGTTTGGAAAATAGGAGGGGGGAAATGGAAAATAAGACAAAAAGTATGAAGGACTGGATGGTAATAAGTGTAAGTGTTTTCTTAAAAGATATAATAGGGTGCTTTATACTTAAGTTTTGGTATGGGTTGAAATGTAAATAGGGTTTTTCTGTAATTTAGAAAAGAAAATAGTGAATGTGAATGTGTCTATATATGGAAATGAAATAAGACAATTATGTGTTGAGACCTTCCATTTTTGGAAATAATTTAGTAGTGGTGACAACTGATAAGGCTGCCTCCAATTTTGGTGGGTCCATAGTGGTCTTGGCACGTGTGACGTATTCGTTAGTACGTGTAAGACATACACTGGATGTAATGTATCATAATAAAATAATGGGTGGTGTCTTGATTCTTCGAATCATGAAAAGTTGGCCAGCCTCAGCCGCCCTTTGCAACCACCAACCATTTCTCAATGTCAGAAAGGCGGTTTGGTTTCGTAGTTCAAGTGGGCTCAGCCCATTCATCAAATTGCTCTTCCTATAGATTCCATAAAATCAATAGCTAATATTTTCACCTACCCACTATAATATATAAAATTTTAAAAAAGTGGCTTTGTTTTGTTCTGATTTTTGTCACATTTTATATAATATAAAGTTTAATTCTCATTGGTTATACAAAAATGTATTATACGGTATGAAATTAAGAGATAGAGAGAGAGAGAGAGAGAGAGAGAGAGAGATGCAAGTGGGAGTTAACATTTTCTGTTAGGTCGGTTGTTAGATGCCACATTTAACTTGACTTTTATTGTGGTAATCAAACGCATTCAAGAACTTTGCCTTTTTCATGTTTGGGAACTTGTCCATCACCATGACATAAACGTGTTCCAATCTTCCAGAACAATTACTTGGTTCAACATCAATAATTGCTAATACGATTCTACATCATTTTTCATTCTTATTTTTATCAAATTACCATTTGCTTTCATTTCTATGTTTTAACTTACCAAAACAGAGATTTTATAAATACCAATATTAAAAAAAAAAAAATTTTTGTCTCTTTATACATGTGACACAATCGAAGAGTGGTAAAGAGATTGTATTTTAGTATTTTTCGATAAATTATAATAAAATAAAAGAAAATTTGACAAATAAAATTACGTTAAAATATTGATAAAAGCCTTTTTAATACTTTCTACATAAACGGGATAAAATTAAACTAAACGATCTCAAGCGAAAAATAAAATGAACTTGAACATTTAAAATAAAATTCATTTTTTTATCTTCAATTAAAGAAAAGAAAAAATGCAGGTTTATTTATAACCCTGATATGGAAACAAGTGTCGTTAGTTTATTACTAAACAGAAATTAAACAAGTGTTTTGTTTTTGTATGTCCTTTTTAACTTTTTTACCGTCCAATCTTTTTTGACTCAAAAATTTGACCAAAGTTTGCCCCAACTTTACGCGGTTGATGGGATTGAATTGATCATTGTTTTCATGGTAAATCAAGGATTCGATGTTTTTAACTTTTTAACTTTTTTAATTTTACTTACCAAACTTTGAACGTTAGGGACTAATATTACATAATGTATATAAATATAATATAATAGATTTTTTTTTATTGTATTAACAATTTTGTATTTCAGACAAATTGATTAAGAGTATTTTTAAAATATTTTTTACATAATTTATTCTTTAAATTAAATTAAAACTGAGTTTAACTCTCAATCATAATTTTAAATAATAAATTACAAGTTTTTAAGCATTTATTTATGATCTATTTTTCGATAATTTTTTTTTTTAAAAATCTATTGGATTTGAATAAAAATATTGTTATTTGTATGAAATTAATAAAGATATTTTTTATTTATACGAAAGAGATTCTTTAAAATAAAGAAAACAATTAGAATGCTTTTTAAGAGATTTATGCCATTTTTGTACAATAAAATTAATAGCAAATAATTTGTATGAATAGATATTATTGTTCCTAAAAACACTCCATGTTTAAGAATCTAATTGAAAGTTTGACCCAATGCGATACTGACACGTGGAATGCCGATTCTTTTGAAGGTTGAACTGTGAAAACTAGAAAAGGACACGTCAATGGTGGTCACTATCATTATTACGTGTTTCATCTGATATTCGTAGAATCGTAGTCATTATCTACTCCTGTGTGATGTGTCCTTAAGGTATCACCTTGCCAATTCTACTCGCAGAACATTCTTTAGAATAGAAGTTTAACGGGAAGATAGGAGATGGGTTGGTGACCAGGTTTGAGCGACCAAAATCCTATAAAATTATTGATAAATATTATTATATTTATAATCTAATTTTATGATTTTTTTATAATTTTAATATAAATTTATAATTAATTAATCCATAAATAAATTCTATCCGTCGAAAATTTTTAGTATTTAGTTTCATCTTAATTAATAGATTACAAGCCTATTTATTCTCGCTTCAAAATTTTTTTTTTTTTTTCTCTCATCGGCTTTTTTCATGCAGCTCACCATCAACACAAATTGATATATGAACATACTAAATATGTTTGTCTTATATACGATTGATCTCGCCCACATATAGAACAAACATACTAAAAATCAACAGTAACCGAATTCAACGACGTGGATAAAAATTGCGGCACGAAACCAAAACTAGAAAATGGGGTAAACACTATGGGGACACAAGTCCTAGTCTTATTGAAAGATTTGCCGTTTTTAGGAATTAGGATAATAAAGAGTAGCTCTCAAAGGACGTGGCATTGATGTGATGAGAAAAGATTAAAAAAAAAGACAAATTTGATCCTGTTTTATTATAAGAAAAATACGTGGACATTCCAACTTGGCTTTGAAATATGCAACCAAATTTATATATACATCTTAAAAGAGTGGTGGTGATGGTGTAGGTGGTGGTGGTGGTAACCATGTAGGAGGAGCACATTAAGAGACTCTTACTTGAACAAAGTAATGGATGGTGGATATGAATCCCACTCCACTCCACTCATCTCATCTCTTTATTTATATTTTATGATTTATGCCCATCAACCTTTCTTTTAAGTTATTTTTTAATTCATATTCATCTTCAACCGTTGCTCATTCGCCTAAGCCATGATGTCATTGGTTGATTAAACTGATAAAAAGCATAGAAAGAAAGAGAGAGAGAGGCTTCAATCTTCAATCACGTCCACACCATGCTGATGAATTTTGTTTGGTTCTCTCTCTTAATTGGGTCCCCTTCGATTCCATTATTTTAAAATTGATTGGCTACTACTGTTTTTGTTCACCTACATTTTACCTAATTTCCTTTATAAAAACAATACCCTCACATGGATTTTCTTCTTTCTTTTTTTTTTTGGGTGATCAGCATGTTTAGACCAGCTTACGTGTACTTCAACTAATTCTCTGAGACCATAAAGTTGACTGTCAGGTAAATCTCCTCAGTGATCACCCCTATCAGTAGGGGTGTAAACGAGCCGAGCCGAGTCGAGCTTTTGGCTTATCGAGCTCGGCTCGTTTACAATAATGTCGAGCTCGAGCTCGAGCTCGAGCCTGGCGAGCCTCAAAATTGAGACTCAAGCTCGAGCTCGAGCCAGCTCGCGAGCCGGCTCGATATCGAGCTCGCGAGCTCGTTATCGAGCTCGATAAGGCTCGATCAAACCACCATTTATCCGGGTTTGATCAAGCCAAGTTCCCCTTTTTTACAGCAATCTGCCTGCGTACAGCATTTCATATTTACATCCAATGTTGAATTAACCATGACAGTTTTGAACATTACAAAATGTCTATTACCTTACAAAATAAAAAAACAGTTCTGAATATATACAAACAACATTCCTAGGAGATTACCGATTTCAGAGTGTCTGGTTCGCGATTTGGGATTTAGGGGTCTTTGATTGCGATTTAGGATTTAGGGCAACTGGGATGAGGAACTGAAATTGAGTAATTGACGCTCTGTTTTGGTGTATCGTGTTATTTCAAATTTGCACTTTTAGGGGGGGGGAACTGTCATTTTTTTAACTTTTTCACTGAAAAATATCAGTTTAATACCTAATAATTTAAAAAATCACCAAAACACCCTATTAAGTGTACAGTGCTTAATCGAGCGGAGCCGAGCCAGGCTCGCGAGCCCACTAGCCGAGCTTCACTGTGTTGGAGCTCGACTCGGTTAAAGAACCGAGTTCGAGTCGAGTCGAACCGAGCCTTACTCGGCTCAGCTCGTTTACAGTCCTACCTATCAGTAACTTAGGTAGATCGAATAGTCTTTTACTAAAGAAAATATGCATCATTCCCTTGGTTTTTACGTTCAACAGTAAAACTTTTACTCATGTTACATAATATGCAACAAAGATTTATCTTAATTTTTATCCAACAATTCTCGAATTTACCGAATTAACGATACCAAGTTGTCGTTTAATCTTAATTCAAGAATCATCTTTCAGTTAAAAAGGTTTATACACTATATATTATATGATGACATTTAACACGATTTGAGTGTGCACACGAGTGGGGCTTTGGATATACACAATTCAAGTCTGCCGTCTTTGGATATGAAATTCTTATCAAGTTGTCACAAAACAAATGAGATCTTCCAACTGCTTTTGGAAATCTAAGTGAATTCCTAAGATACTTTATTAAAATTGTGGACCTTATATTATAATATCATCATGTAGTTGATTACAAAGTATTAGTTGGGCCACCATAAGTACTTATGGGCATCGAATTTATTTTCAGATTTTGACTTGTGATATTACGCATCATGACAATATGTTTTTTTTATAAATATATATTAATATTTTTTCTTAATAAAAAGCTTTTTTTTTTTTTCTTCCTAGAAATATGTAAAAGCATATCTAGGAAGTCGAATTTCAAATGTGCTTCATGTGGTTTTCACTTAACAAATGTTTATATTAAAGTTCTTTAAATACTTTTTTTTTTTTTTAACGCCTTTAACCTCAAAGCCACTTTAATTAAAGACTACAACAAAACTAATGCAAAAGTACTTTTAACATATTGGTTCACCAAAACTGCTCCCAATTACAGTAAAAATGTTTATACATTCGTTTTTATTTCTATAAATTTTCTAGTATTATGATTTGCTATATCATTAAGCGTATTTCTAACATTACAATCGACAATTCATTGATGTGTTCTAATCTTTGAAAAAGATCCAACTTCCATTTAAGTTGAAGAAGCCAATGCTTATTAACACATTCAACAAGCATAAAGATTTTTTAATTACCCACAAAGGCAAGAAATCAAAACCCTAATACCATTTTTATTTAATAACTATATGCATGGGACCAAGAAGAAGCATAAATGGGGTCCAAGACAGTGAAGAGATTACCAATGATAGTGGATAAGATTAGCAAAAGAAGATTCCATGATAGAGAGTGGATCAATCTTAGACACGCCATGTACTTACAATTAAAAAAAAAAAAAAAAAAAAAAAAGAATTAATTAATTCTACTGAAAAACCATATCCACCACACACGGTTGATCCACTGGGTCACAGTATTTTCTCAGTACGAGATAGCACAAACAGATTTTAATTATTTGTTAATGGAAATGGAAGCATGCAAACACAAGTTGGATTGGAGGGGCCGAGGGGCCTCCTCTAAAAGTAAAATATATCATTTCTCTTTCGTTTCAAAGTGTATATCCGTTCAACAATAATAATACTCCAAAACCCTAAAAGGGTTCCTTGTTTAAAGGTACTTTCATTTCTTGTGAATCGTTTTAGGTTTATTTGGGTTCCTCGAGTGTGCATTATTTGACCAGAAACTCTCATTATTTTGATTTTTCTTAACAGTTTATATACTGTTAAAAATGGCGGACAAACTTGAAAAGATATATAAGAGAAAGTGGGGAAGTCAAAATGAAAATTTGTGATAAATTGCAGAGATCTAGTTTTAGTGTGACGTATCATCAAGATATTATTTATGGCTGCATTTATATTGACCTAACATTTTAGGAAGAAGTTCGATTGAACTTTGCTTCAAGACAGCTTTGTTCAGTCGGCTAATTGTTGCTTCTTCCCTTCTGCTGCTTCCCATTTAATGCTCATTTTCTTGGTAAATACTGGGAACCATCTACCTCTGTACCTTCCATATAAATATTGACAAGAACAACACTTTACTTACAATTACAGACCCACAGATTAATTTCTGAGATGTGGGTACTGGGTGAACCTGAAATTGAAATTTCCTGTCTTCTTCACCATAGCCGAAATGTTGATTTCTTTTATGAACTTTAAATTTGTAATGGATTGACCCACAGTTTAGGCTGCAGCCCAAAAAAAAAAAACAAAAAAAAACTTTTAGGCTTTTGTTGTGTGCTAAATTTTGGGGTTCATTTATTGTTGGGCCGTAATATAAAACTCAGTTGAGATTGTTCAAGGCCTGAGCATTAATTAAGATGGATAACCCATCATTTATATGGAGGATGATTAGGCTATTGAGCCTGCTTGAATACTTCTATTGTCACTCCTGACAACAATTTGCTTTCCTGATTTATCAACTTGATTCCAACCATTACTCATTTATTTCTATTGCACTTCTTTCTGTTGTTACGAAACTCAAAGCAACCTAAATTACTCAATCGACATTGACGGGACTGAATAAGATGTGAGCGTGACCTCTAAGGATCAACAATGAATTGAAACTGAATTCATAAAATAAGGGTAAAAGACAATTTTTAAAGTGGTTCGGCAAGTTCTAAGGATCAACAATGAATTGAAACTGAATTAATAAAATAAGGGTAAAAGATAATTTTTAAAGTGGTTCGCCAAGTTAAATTAAGCCTACGTCCATTGTCATTTTATTGATTTGTTTGTGATTAAAATTAGAATTGCCATAATAATACTCTTTGCTTTCTAAACTCTCTAATCCCTTCCAATGATTTTGTTTGGGGTATTTATACTACAAGATGATAACAGTTATAAGAAAGAAAATAGGGATAATGACATTATTTTATGAAGTTAATCTCATGATTCTTGCCATGTTTAATGGGTGGAGAGTTGTCATGCTCCTTGATTTTAGGGAATAATGCTTATCTCTAGAGACAAGGCTTATCCATGATATGGAAGACTGGAAGATAATTGTAAAACAACTCGCTTCACCTTGGACATAACTTGCTTCAATTTGGTCGTCATCTCACAAGTTACACAGACCTATAGCTCGCTATAAGCTATTGCTTGCTCCGAGTTGGTCGCACATCCTCGCACAACATTAATATTTGCCAATCAGTTTTTGGAGCTCGTGTCAAGCTTCAAAAACTTCGAGCTTTTCTAGATGAGCTATCAATGTGTGAGTTGCTATCAGACTAAACTGACTTGTGAATTGGGGCTCGATCAAATATTGAACTGTTGCTAAAGCTTGTTCTTAGTGATCCTTTTGATGACCAACCGGTGATGAGGTCAAAAACAAGGAGTCCCCGAACACACACACACACACACAACATGCAAAATTCGGCCTACTCTAAACTATGTCCCAGGATCAACTAAAATGAGTTATTTAAACTAGATATGTGAATATTTGTTACATTCCAATGAAGATTCAACGCGAATTAACCTTCCTAAGGTATATCCAAAGTTTCTTAGAGGTAACGAGTAGGCTTAGACTTCGGAACACTTTCCAAGCTATAGTATATTTGACATGACAATCATGTAAGTATTTTTTCACAAATATATTAAACTATTTAATACATTTAATATATGTCTTTGAATACATTCCGAATTTGTCTAATTTAATTTTCCAAACAATTCTAAATAGATTAAATCAAATTAGAATAATTTATTTTTTACACATTATCCAAGATAACTTTTATCTACTACCTAGGAGACCCATATGAAAATGTTTAATAATAGGCTTCAACGTATTTGGTTCCGTATCTCTTTATCTCATACTTGTAAGGTATCGAATGTGTTAACGTTATCCAACTCTATTATAGGGATAATGCTAAACTCTTGAATTAAACATTTTGTTTATAAGAAACTTTGGGTAGCAAATGGTATTTTGAAACTTTTTCGCTGGGAAAGTATTGAGGCAAACCTTGGTGGGAAAAAGTCGTTTACTCTATCTATGTCTTCTACTTTGAAACGCTGCTAAATTAACTCTATTCATATAGATATGATATTATGAAGAGAGACATAAATCTATAAAAATCTGAGCCTATGGCCCATTTCTTTGACTTAAGCCACTGAAGAAGACGACGTAGTGGTGGTTTTTCTCAAATTTCTTACTGACAGTCAGAGAGAAAGCTTGCCTGCGGCTGCAGAAGATAAGATAAAAAACAAACGCTAGCTAATAACACTCTTCCCTTATAAAGTCGCCCCTTTAACTTGCATGCCACCATCATAACGACAATAATTCAATTCAAAAGCAATCAACTTTCGGTGCCCCTCCACAAATCAAGCACAGCCACGCCCATTGGCAGCTTTAATCCACACATTATATCACCAAACCCAACACATTATTTTACTAAATTAATAATGTAAACAACAAAACAAAAGGATCGATCTTCTTTTACAATACGTTCATAAAATTAAGTTATCAAAAATCAAATTCACACTACTTAATTAATTCTATTTCTCCTCTTACGTGTAATTTGTTCCTTGCTTGTATCTTCGAAAGAGGTCTTCTGTTTTGGCATTTCTGAACGCACAACACCCAATCAAATAAACCCAGATCAAAGCAATTAGAGTTACGAGTAAAATGATGTCTGCTCTTCGCCATTCTTTCTTTAGATTTGCGAGCAATCCGGCTTTGCATGAATCGCAGTTATAGCATAGTTGATTTTGGTCATTGCTCCATTGCAGGCAATCCATGTCTGCCGCGTTGTTGATGGGACTTATCCAATACGTTGGATTCACAAATGTGTACCCACACTGTGTAGGGGGCTTACAGCATCCAGACTGTAAAGAAAAAAAGCAAAAACGAATAAAGATAAAGATTGAGAATGCTTTGTAAATGAAGATTAAAACATTGGTTGAAGAATCTAATGCTGTTTTACTTTATCTATGTATTGTTTATTGTTCTTTGCTTAAGGAATATAACCCTACTTTGAGATGAAATTATAGCTTAAAATCCGAACAAGTAACAAGGAAACTTGAACTGAAAAATATGTATCTATATAAGTACCTTTTAAATTGATTTTAAATTAAGCATTTAAATATAACTAACATGACCTAAATTAAATAAACGTTTGTGTTTCAAAAACAATGTCGAAATATATATTGTTTTTAATTCATTTATCCCCTTTTTTGGCCAAAATTCATGATTTGTTCAAGTAATCCAAATTAAGAATTTTCTTTTGAAAAAGCTAAAAAGAGGAAAGTATTAGGAGTCCCGCACCGACTAAACACGTTCAAGCCTACTGATTTATAAGAGAGGGTAATCCTCCCATTCAACAAAACCACAAAACCTGAGGAGTCAGACTCACCTCAAATTCTATCATACTGGTTTATAAGAGAGGGTAATCCTCCCATTCAACAAGACCTTATTAGGTAAGGAGTCAGACTCACCTCAAACTCTATATGGTATCAGAGTACAGGTTCAGTTGAGCCTTGACCAGTGGGTGAGGAGTTAGAGCCAATAACTACCTCCATCAACAGGCATGACCTAACATATGGGCCTGATCGTGAGGGGGAGTGTTGAAGTCCCACACCGATTAGGCACACTCAAGCCTACTGGTTTATAAGAGAGGGTAATCTTCCCATACAACAAGGTATTATTAGGTGAGATGTCAGACCCAACTCAAAAAAGTTTATTAGGTGAGATGTCAGACCCAACTCAAAAAAGTGAGAAATAAGAGTTCATTTTTAAAAAATGGTTTTCTTCAAGTTACCTCTAGAAGAAGACTTTCTTGCTTTCATTAGGGTTTGAAACTCAACAAGTTCAATTTTTTGAATAAATCTGCAGTTGTGAAGTAAATAAGAACAAAACGAAGTTAATTAATTTACCTGCAAAGGCGTTATGTGCGCATTAAAAAAATCCTGAGCCATCCGAAAACTTTGATTCAGCTCAGGACACATTTGTGTTGAGCTAAGACAGGTTTTTATCCTATCCCATTTGTAAGGACTCTGAACTCTTCTACGTAGCCACCCTGAAAAATCATCCAGACGATATTCTAAGTAAGCCCTACTCGGCTCAAGATGGCCTGAACCCCTAACCGTAACCATGTAGACAAACACAACCAAAGCGGCCAGTAATATTATGAGAATGAGCATCGCTACAAGGTAGAATATAAGCAGCCACGGAATGCGCCAGAAGCCTCCTATAAAGCCTGCAAGAGCCACAACCAAAATCAAAATGCCCAAGATAATAACCGGCCATTGTAAAATCTTCACACAGGAATTGTCCGGTTCGGTTGTAAGCCAGATTCCGGCACCAATGACTGGGATCGAAAGAAGCATGGCGACGAAGTTGATGGCTCCGATAACATTGCTGCTTAATGCCATTTTTCTGAGAGAAGTATGAGGAGTGTTTTCTTCAGGGTTTTGTTTGTTGTTGAAGTTATACAAATAAGGAGTTTAAAGAAGACTCTGTAGAAAAAGTTTCCACAACCCACCCGTCTTTGTTCCTTACCTTGGATCCGTGAAACTGAAAGCTACTAAAGCTAGTAATAATAATTTTTAAAGTAGGGCTTTGATCTCCAAGTCCAATCACATAAGGACAACTTTTAGAAAAGGAATACCTTGTACAGGATGAGGAAGAAAATAGAGGATGAGTAAAGAGACAAAAGTTGCTTACAACGAATGCATTTATGTGGTGGGAAAACGGAGTAAAAAGAAGGGAAAAAGTCTTGGATGAATGCATATCGAATTATTCGTGCTCTTATTTATTGATTTAATTTAATGAATAAATGTATGTACATATATAATATAATTATATTAAATAGATATATATATATATATATATATATATAATATATATAATATAATATATATATATATATATATATATATATTATATAGTATTACAGCCTACAACATTTCAAGAATATAATTAATGTATTAATGTATGTAATTATAATATAATCCATGAGACAATCTGACTCTGATACCATGAGAAAACAATATTTCAAGAATGAGCATTCTTCTCGATCTTTATTCACATAACATAACTCCTTCCGTTTCCAAATAAATGACGCTTTAGCTAATTACACACTTTTTAGTACTGATTTTTTTAATGTAAACAAAAAGAGAGAGAGGCATGGGCACACAAAAAGTGGAGAGAAAGATTGAGACAGACACGGAGAGCAGAGAAGAGAGAGAGAAGAGATGTTGGCCATCGCAAAAATGAGAGAATAGAGATATTAGACAATTGAGACAAGACAAGCGACACTTTTTAGAAAAAATTATACTCTCAAGACGACACTTAAAAAAAAACGGAGGGAGTATATATATAGTATTATACCTTACAATCAAGCAACTAAATCAAGTCTAAATAAGAAGGAATCAGCCTAAATAAGAAAATAATCACTATCAAACTCCTACCTAAATAGTAATTATATTTACTTGCTATACTGATCACATTCCAATACATAATGCGAATTTGTGATTGTGACATTCATATCTCACCAAAGAATCTTAAAAAAGACAAAATCACAGTTATATCCTGATCGGTGAATTAATTTATTGGTTTTGATGGAAAAAACTCAAAAAAATTGATCAATTTAAAATTTAAATGCTAATCGATATAAGACAAAGGCTAAACGTAGGTTTGACATTTGACTTAAAAAACCCTAATGAGAAGAGTCCGATTTGAATTAAGGGGTACTGTGAATTTGGTACAAAGCAGTGGGAACTTGTCGTGTGTATGGGTCCAGGTCCGGGCCCAGGAGTTATGATACCCAAAACTAGATTCAGTCCCAACCATAAAAGAAAATCATCGCAATAATTTTTTAGTATTATATTCTAAGAAAAAAATAAAAATAAAATGACATCATTTAGCATGATAAACCGTATGAAAGAACCCTAAAGTGGCCATCACTTTTAGGATCACTCTCATTGTTAATGCTTCTACTGTAACTTTCTAATCATATTATTTATTGATCTTTTTTTTTTTTTGGTTATCGAAATGTTTAGACCAGTTTACGTGTATTTCATCAGCCCCCGATCCTAAACAAAGCTTTTAAAACAGGTAAATCTTAGATCGTAATTAACAATATTAACAATATTTATTGTGATTCAATCTAAGATCACAAAGGGAGCAAACCCTTGCGTAACCCATTGTTGGTTTATTTATTGATTTCTTCTTATATTTTTATTATAATTTAGAATGTTCTTCGTGCATTTTGTTATTATTATATATAGACTCAGTTTCAAATATTTATTTTATAAATTCTTAGCTTCCAAGTCGGTGAGTCCATAATCCAAAGCGCAGACCCAAAGATTATCAAACCCTAATTGGAGCCCATGATGGGTTTGGAATGGGTTTAGCCGTTTAGGTTCTTTTTTCGTTAATGGGTTTGGGGTTCACATTGCCATTTCTAACTATATATTTCATTTTTTTTTTTTTTTTTTTTTGTCAATACATTAATAATAACTTTTGTTGTTAAAAATAATCAAATTTTTATTAATGATATAGTTTATTGGCTTAATCCAAGTATATATTCAGCACATATAATAAATTATGTATTTTTAATTAATTGAAATTGTCATATACTGATTTATTTTTAAATTGATATCATCAATCGATTTTCAGGTTAAAAAACTTTAACTCATTTCAACTTTTTTACATATCTTTTTCTAATTCCAATGGTTTTAGTTTAATAAAACCAAACTTTAGATATTCTAAATTGTTGGCTTCAGAATTTTGACCTATTAAAATTCTAGTCGATTAGGTTTAAGAACCCTTACATTAATTCTATTTTTCATCTTTTTCCTTTTATAATTTATTGTTGTTTTTAACCTCTATTTCCTCTATTCATTATAGAAGCTTGAGAAAAATAAATACTATCACTCACTTAATATTTACACATCAAAAGAGGAACTCATATTCATATGTTTTTCAACAATATTAATTCAAGCGACGTGATAATTATTTATTATTTATCACATTATTTTATAAGCTTATAAAAACTATGTTCAAATATAGTTTTCATATATAACGGTAATATATATAAAAAAAAAAACTATAATAATAATAATAATTATTATGGAGTTTATGAATAAGTTAAAGTTAAAAGGAAATTAAACAAGAAAATTATGATTAAATCTTAAAATCACTTCACATTATTGTTGTTATAAGTTAAATGACCAATTTATCCAAATAAAAATCAAGCCCAAGTTATCCACTATCCATTTTCTTGTGCCTTGTCCACCTCTCAGAAAAACAACAATGGCAGCATTAGAAACAGCTACACTTTCAATCTTCTCTTTTTCTTCTTCTTCTTTCTCTAAATCCCACTTATGTCCCAAGCCACCACACTCCTCTGTAAAGCTCCTTCACATTTCCAATTCTACCCTTTCACTTTCTCATAATTTTCCTCTATTCCCTTTCACTAACCCAACAAGAAAAAGTTACTGCTTTCAGTTATGCTCTGCTGTAGAAGAGGCAACCGTAGTGGAAGAAAAATCGGAGGAAACCCAGAAACAAAATTTACGGAAAAAGCTATATGTATTTAATTTGCCTTGGTCTTTCTCTGTTGTGGATATCAAGAACCTCTTTGGCCAATGTGGGGCTGTTACAGATGTTGAGGTTCTTCTTCTTCTTCTTCTCTCTTTTTTGTTTTTGTTTTTGTTTATATTGTTTCTGTGATGAGTTTTGAGTTTAAGTTGTTAATGTTTGAGTTTAAGTTGTTAATGTTATAGATTATAAAGCATAAAGATGGGAAGAGCAGAAATTTTGCATTTGTGACAATGGCTTCAGGAGAAGAAGCTCAGGCTGCTGTTGATAAGCTTGACACTCTTGTAAGTTTGTTTATATATGTATGCTCTTACTTGAATTTACTATTTTGTTTTGTTACTTTTGTAAGCTGCATTTTCAACTTGTATTTTGTGTTTGTTAATTGTTGTATCTATGTTGTTAGGAGGTCAAACTAGTGTTGATGGATTTGAAATTTGGATTCTTTCATTTGTTCAAAGTGCAAAAATGCACTAATGGGATTCATTGATGGCCTAAATGGAAGAAAATTATATATAAGTCCTAATACATGTGGCAGCTTCATTGCCTTTTGTTTTGGACACAGAAACTTATTATTTCTCTGTTACTATGCTTTTTAGTCCTTCATTTCTCCTTGAAGGGCCTTCTACTTGAAATTTTCAGCTTTGCTATCAGTCTCACTTCAGACATTGCATTTATGCTCATTACCAAGCTGAATTAGAGTATGAGTCACATATACTTAGGTAGTTTAGTTTCTACGTTGAGGGTGAGAGTTTCATTTAGGTGCTTAGTTTCTACAGAGAGTGATAGCTTCATTTCTTTGTGTGGGGAGACATACAAGGAAGTTGGGTTGAATTCATCAAACTGCTCTTCAGTAACTCTAATTGTCTCTTAGGTTTTTGTTTTGTTTTCTCTATCTTTATGTTTGTGCTAGCCTTCTTTTCTCTGTTCTCTTTCCTTTTTGATCCTTTTAGGCTTCTTGTGTGTTGTTCAGTGAGAAATTTGACTATTTAAGCATTGTCAATGGAAAATTTTCATTTAGGAAACAAATAAATTTACTTCAATTATGATTTTGTGGTGTAGGAAGTGTCAGGGAGGATTATTAGAGTTGAGTTTGCAAAGAAATTCAAGAAACCGCGTCCTCCACGTGAACCACAGCCCCCAATTCCCCTTGCTGGAGAAACACAAAATGGAGAGACACAATCTGTAGAGACACAACCTGTAGAGACACAACATAAGCTATATGTGTCAAATCTTGCTTGGAAAGTTAGATCCACTAGTCTGAGAGAATTTTTTTCGGCCGATCATAATCCTGTTTCTGCCAAGGTTGTTTTTGAGGCTCCAGGAAGATCTGGTGGTTACGGCTTTGTCTCATTTGCCACAAAGGAGGAGGCAGAGGCTGCAATTTCTTCTCTGAATGGGAAGGTAAATTTAACTACCCAAGTACATTAGCTGATTCCATAAATTTTTGTTAATTTGGTGAATAAGATAAACATCATTTTTAAATGGCAGTCTTCAATCCTTTAAAGATGGTGGTCTTCTTTTTACCTTGTATACTTTTTCTGGACAACTTTTCTCTGTTCTAGTTTTTGGCTAGAAGGAGTCTTAGGTTGATTAAAAACCAACAACCCATTTCTTGAGATTTGGTAGAACCTCTTAACTTCTTGAATTTGTTATAAGATGGACAAGAACGGAGTTGCAATGGAATGTGTTATGACAAGAATGGAGTGCCAAGGGAATGTGTTAGACTAAATTCCTCTCCATGATGGTTAGTGCAGTAAGTAGTTTTAAATTTTTATAAAGAAACATTTTAGAAATCATATATTTGTAAGTGTTTAGTAAAAGTTTCAACATAAACATAGCTCTAACACTCAATCATGGAGTTATGTACTGGTCGACTTGCTTCATTGTGCATGTCTTTTGGCTAAAAGATATTTGAGGGAACCAGCCAAGCAGCTATTGGTTTAATAAGACAAAATGACCGTATGCAGGAATGGTAGTTAATCAGTTTGTAGACTAGTTTCAGTGATTGAAATATTATTCATTTATCTAAAGCAATAACATTTTTGGTCACCATCTCAGCATAGGATATACAGTATCCTGGCCAATCAACTTTTGAACACTCTTGCATGCATAGCTGCACATATGCAATAGCATATTTATTGCTTCATAGGCATACTAAAATTACATCCTTTGCAACTTACTTTTCTTTTCAAGAAAAATCTGAGCTTCTTGTTTGCATTTTCACGGTGTATCATCTTCGTATACCTCTGTGATCAGATGGAGAATTTCTTGATCCTTTTATTCTTCTTCCTATAGGAGTTGATGGGCCGACCAATTCGTTTGAAATTCAGTGAAAAGAAAGTTGATGAATCCGCAAGTGAAAATGAACAGGAAGACGTACCTGAGGATCAGCCTGCAGAATCATAGATAATTAAATTGCTGCAGGGTTTGCAGATTGACTGTGCACAATTATGAAAGGCTGAAATTTTGGTGCCAACCGCCCATAAAGCTCATGAAAGCATTCTCTTTTTATCTGTGTATTTTTACATGCGCTTTAGTTTTATCCTTCACTTTAGGTACTTCATATTAACAGTCAATTTTGTTCTTGATGCCTTAATTTTTTTTTTTTTTTTTCATTGAAACTGTTATACACACACACACACACACACACACACACACACTCATATTACCTCTTGATTGTCCTGAATATACATCGAAATTCATTATATATCAAATGATCACTTAAATTATTTCAAGTATCATGCTTTGATAAAAATACTCTTTGAATTGTTTTTTATGTACAAGAATTTCAATGCATTGCACATTTTAGGAAGAGAACGACATGTTCCCACCCATTGTTTGGCGAAATGGCTAGTTTTCACCCTTGGTTTTATAAATTCCAAATTTTCACTATTAAATTAACAGAAAATTGTTTAATGTAACGGTTAAAAGGGTAAAATGGACATTTCAAAAATGAAAATTTCAAAATAACCTTCACATCTCAAGTTCACCCCACCATGCGACCAGTGATTTCAGGCCAATCTGGCCTATTCTCGACGCAGTCAACCCCTTCCGATACTACCATTACAATCCTTTCAACCCCTACACCAAAACCCCGAACCTCCCTGCCTGATTGAATCCCTCAATTGCCGGTTGTCGCTCTTAGTTTCGGTAGCGTGTTTCATCTAAATTCTAGCCTATCCCAACACCGGAAACCACCCTTGACACCACCAATAACATCATTGGCTTCCCCCTCACCAAAACCCCCAACATCGTTGATCATAATTACTTGCTGATCGCCACCGCCTCTCCATTAGGGTTTTGCTTGGTTGTCGCATCTTTCTAGCCAAATTCCGGTCAATCTTGGTGCTAAAAATGACCCCTAATACCACCAATAGCACCACAGGCATCCCCCCCTCCAAAACCCCCAACACCCCCAACCCCGGTTGTCGGCTGATTGCCGTCCGCCTCCCCCCTTAGGATTTTGGGAAATTGTTGTTTTTGGGTTGATTGGAGGTCGATTTGGAGTTTGTTTTGAAAGGAGAATGATTGGTTTTGAAGTGTTTGTGGTTTGTTGATTGATTGCGGTTTTTTTTGGGCCATTTCACCCTGCCACCAGACTTAACATGCCCACCAAGTGTTCGAAAAATTGCCCCAACAACACTTAACATTCACCAGCGCAGGGGGACAGTCAATGGAGGTAAGTGTTTTGATAAGGAGGAGATGGGGATGCTGACGGTGGTGTCAAGGGTAATTTTCGATGCCGAAATCTATCGGAATCCGACTTGAAAACTAAAAAGTTGTGCAGACCAACAAGGAGCGGCAACTGGTGATTGGCAGGTGCACTTGAGTGGAAAGTTAGGGGTTTTGGTGAAGAGGATAAGGGGATGCTGATGGTGGTGTCAGAGAGGTCCAACAGTTCCGGAATCAGGCTAGCTTTTTGGCTTGGTCGGGGTCTCCTGTGGAGGTTATTTGAGAGAAATTTGATATGTGAGGATTATTTTGAGAGAAAACTAACAGTGTTAATTTAGGGTGGGAATCTGAAATTTATGAAACCAGGGGTGGAAACTAGCCGTTTCGCCAAACCTTGGGTGGGAACATGTCGTTTACTCTTTTAGGAATAGCACGAAAGAATAGTTGTGGGGAATTTATGTTTCTATCCAAGGAAAATTTCGTAGAACTTGGAGGCCTAAGTACTTTAACTTCACATGTTTTTTTTTTTTTTGGGTTTGTTTTCACCTAAAACGCGTATACTTGGTTGAGATAGCTTACTTAAGATTTATGAATTAACTCGATTTTCATTAGTGATTTAATGATCTAAGATGTGACATTGTTCCCTTGTTTGCTTACATTTATTTCTTCATCCACACTAAAGTCCTTTTCCTTGATAAAATTGAATTTGAATGCACTGTTACAAAATGAAGTCCTGTTTTCCCACCATTGGTACACGCAAAGCAGGTTAAACTTGGTAATGGAATTACATTCCTCATGAAAAGAAATTAACATGGTGAATGATTGAATACAGTTGAGGAGAGGGTTGGTGTTCCATAAAGTTAATTGTCTTGGGGTTGGGGGGGTCTGTCTTTAAATTGATGAAAAGCTGATGTGTATGATTCATGCATTCAGTGGTCATGAAAAATGAAATTGTCAATTTATTATAAAAGCTCAATAATAGGAACAGGGCTGCAATTAAAACGCTCTTAAAAGTTGCTTTTGATTAGGCCGATGATGACATAAAGCTGAGATTGATTTGCTATCTTGTCCATGATATAAAAAAAGATGAATCAACTTACAATATTAAGACCACAAAATGAGATGTTCCCAGATACAAAACCTTTAGGATTTAAAGGTGCATTTTCTACTGTGTTTAAAACGTGGTAAGTTGGAACCCAGAATAATAATTCATCATTCAATCAACTTACTGTTAATTAATAGCTGGGAAAAGCTACAGAGTTAACATAACTATAAACATGTAATTAATCATTTTGTAGTCGAAAAGAGGAATACAGGGAACATGATTGATAGAGGGAATTCAATAGATATTATTCAGCTATATTATTTATAAATACAAGTCAGATATATATCTTTACTGAGGAATATCTTTACTTGATCTGATCATAGAGGATACTTTAGAGATATGATATCTATGGTTTTTATTTAATGATTTTTGGTTCCTCTTCAAGTTGATTGGCATTATATGCTCCAGGTGGGGGTTTAAATAAATCCAAACAACTAATCATCTTCATTTCACAGTAGACAATTTTATAGTTGGCTGTTGATAATTTAAGTCTCATTAAAGATGCTTCAAATTCCATTTCCATTGCCTTTTCTTGTAAATTACAAACTTGTACAAGATATTGGACTTTAAAATATTGGAGAAATAGGGCATCATGGGAATTTCTGGAAAAAGTTGTGATGGAAAATTTAATACTAACTTTTGATATTATATTGTATCATATCATATCATAATCATTCATTCCCTTAATATAAAATGGTTTATGATAATTTAATGAAATGGCGAGACTTTGGAGAGAAGACCACTGCCACTCAGAAAACAGAATGTAGAGATTAAAAGAAAAAAAAAAAAAAAAAAAAAAGTTGGTTGGTCGGTTAAAGACTTCTTCGTTCTCAAGAAAGGTCTTCTCCCTCCCCTCCCTGCTCATCTTCTATCAATTCCAGCACCATTTCAACCTTTAATCCATCAGCAAATTCTCCCATTACTGAAAAAGAATATTACAAATATCTTTCCATATTGGAGACCTCGCAATTCCCATTTGGAATATCAACTCGTTATTACAGTTTGTCAAACAATGTTAAATATTATAAATTTCAGAATAAAAAGTTTGCAATAGTAACATTGTTTTATATCTCAATATCAGTGGTCAAGCAAATAATTATAAATTCCAGGTTCATGCTTTTCTTTTTTCCTGCTTTTGATATTCAAGGGTCTACAAGTTTAGTGCAGTCGGGTCACTTTTGATTTCTGGGATAATGTTAATTTAAGACTTAAAAACAAAAGAAAACGTTGGTCCCTTGTTTTTCTGGCAGGGTGTGTCTTTTTGAAGAACATATTCTCCTCTCAAAGGGAATCTCAGGCCATTTACTCAGCCCCACACACCAACACTTTGATACATACAGAATACAGACACATTTTAGCTCAATAGTTTTGCCAATTATTCTGTCGAATGTGCAGTATCCCATACTGTTTCTTTTCTTTTTGCACCAATTTGGCATCAAAAGCTACAGGCCTAGTGAAATAGAGATGGGGATCAAAGTCTTTTATGAATTTCCTTGTTCTAAGATTGGTGCACCTAATTTAACTGTTCGTTAGAGTACTGTGCAATCATCTTGATGAAAATCTTTTGGTTAAATCTTTTGGCTTTAAACTAGAGGTTAAGTAATTGAAGGGGCAATTTAAAGGGGTCGAAGTCAAGATACTCTCCAACTGCTGCTGGCTTGAACAATAATAAAAGCATTCATTTACTTTAATGAATTTCCAACCAATTCATTACACTACCACCTTAGTCAACAAACCATTATCTTATGAAAAAGAGAGAGAGAAAAAGAAAAGAAAAGAAAAGAAAAGAAAAAGAAAGGAAAGAGAAAAGAAAAAGAAAATACTCATCATCAACAACAACAGCAAGACACAGCCCTCCTACTGTTTTCTTTCTTTAATTTCTTTCCATGTAAGCCTAGATGTCTTCTTTTCCACCCTTCTTATCTCTCTTCGAAAAGTTTTCAACACAGGAACCTCTTAAATTCCCACTAACTCTTCAACAAATTACACTATATTTTTACCAAAAATCACAATTCTCCATAGCAGGAAGAGGATATGAACATACTAGAAGAGATGGAAGAATTAATATTTGTGTAGACTTTTTATTTTCTGTAGTTTTGTGATGGGTTCTCTAGGCAATCCGAAAGCTTGGGTTCCATACGTGAATAGCAAAGATTGTTCTCAAGGATTTTGCAGCTTGTATTGTCCGCAGTGGTGCTACATCATCTTCCCTCCACCGCCACCTTTAGATGATCAGTTCACTGAAGATAATTCAAGTCCAACTTTTTCCCCTCTTGTAATTGCCATCATCGGCATTCTTGCAAGTGCTTTTCTTCTAGTAAGTTATTACACGATAATCTCTAAATATTGTGGCAACAGAAACTCTACAAGAGGAAGAGAAAATCCTGATCCAGCTCAAGAATTGGTGGACAATCACAACCCTTCTCTCCATGAGCCTTGGCATGTTGCAACTGCTGGCTTAGATGATGCGCTCATCAAGTCCATTACGGTTTGTAAGTACAAGAAGGGAGATGGTTTGATTGAAGGCACTGATTGCTCTGTTTGTCTCAGTGAATTTGAAGAAGATGAAAGCATTAGACTTTTACCAAAGTGTAGCCACGCTTTCCATGTTCCTTGCATTGATACATGGCTTATAAATCATTCAAATTGCCCTTTGTGTCGCGCAACCATCTTTTTCATCAGTGCTTCGCCGCCCCAGTTACCTCCAATCACTGAAACTTCAGCAAATCAAGATTCAGTACAAGATAGCCCAGCAGCAAGTGAGAATGCAGCAACTGCACAGGATATAGAAAGAGGTGTCGGCGAAGAGGAAATAATGCAGAATGATGGGACCCCAAAGACTCCATTGCGTGCTTTTAGTGATCTGGGGAATATGCAAGGAAGAAATACTGTTATTGAGATCACAGAAGAAGGAAGTCAAAACATAAGAAGATCAGTTTCAATGGATCATTCATGTCAAACCCGAGTTTCGATCGCTGATATGCTTAGAATAAATCAAGACGAAGATATTATTCAAGAGGAAGAATGTAGTGGTAGTGCAGGATCATCAAAACAACCAGAAGAAACCGGCAAGTCAATGAACAGAAAAAAAGTCTTGCATTGTGTAAGGAGTCCTGTGATGAAGAGATCGTTTTCCAGTGGGAGATTCTTGCTCACAAGGCAAGGGAGAGTGCGTGACTCAATCATTCCTCTATGAATATATATTTTTTTTGATAGATTAAAATGTAAGGATTAGTGTTAATTATGAAGAGAAAAAGCAGAGGTCTATTGCCAATGTCTTGAACTCAATACATTATTAGAATCATATATAGCTAATTCCATGAGTGACAACTTTGTTCTCTGTTATCATCTCTGTGTATTGCTTTCTTGCTAAAATCTTTTAGATTTCAATGTTTAATTTCTTTTAGTTTTGTCTCCAATGTGCCCCATTTTCTTCTGCATACATTCTGGTATGCAATTCTCTGTAACTTGGAAGAAGCCTTAACAGACTCTTAATGAAGCCACCCTTGATTCATATTTTGTTTATTACCATCTGTTACACTGTATTGTCTCTGTTTGAGTTTGACTTGGAGAAAGAAAATTTCAGTGGAATGAAGTTTCTGGATTTTGACGACTGTGGGATTCACATATCCAACTGTGAAAATTCTAAAAAAGGGGTCCTTGAAAGAATTTTTGTCTGGCTACCAAATGAGAATGAGAATGAGAATATACAAGCACTATTACCAAAAGATTTTGTGCTTGGCCAGGCGAGTAGAACTGCTATTTCAGAACAGGTGCTTTTTAAGTACATAATTTTTGGTTTGGAGCAAAAAACTGAGCTCATAATTTTTGGGTCATGATTAATTGACCCGAGTAAAATCTATTTCACCCAGTTGGGGCATAGTCGAAGTATCCTTAGTGGGGTCAAGTGACTCTACTGAAATTATAAAATTATTAAAAATAGGTATATATTTTATAGTAATTAATAATTTTGACTCCACTAAAATTATTCATATTTTATTGATTCCACTATAATATTTTCATATTTTATTGGTCATGAGATTCGAAAATATCCATATTTTTTTTAAGCGTTTTCTCTCTTCCTTAGTTCTTCTCCTCTTCTCTCATACTTTATTCTTTATTTGGTTGGATTAATAAAAAAAAACTACTCATTTAAAGGTCATAAGATAAGATGATTTTCATTTTTGGTTATTTTGCTTAAAAGTTTATTCCTCTATCTTTCTTGATTGATGAAAGATTATGAACTATGTTACCCTATGTTGTTTTTATTTTACGTATATAATTAATATAATCATATGTTGAATGAGTTGAATTTAGTTAATTTTGAGTAATACGTTTGATTTTTGTTGAGTTTAATTAATAGGTTTGAAATTGGAAGATGAAATTCCTAGATTTTGATGTGGGTTATAATTTAACATTGTTTATGTTGAGATATAAGTTGATTAGTTATTGTTTTAAGTTGGGTTTGATAAATTTTGGTCAGATATTGAGTTAATTTTGAATGAGTTTAAAGAATTGATGAAACTCTAAGATTATCTCCCATGGTGCTGTTTATTTTAAAGAACATATTTAATATAAATAAAGATTATCTTCGTTAAATTCTAAATATAAAGAATAAATTTTTTATTCAAACCTAATAGACTCTTTAAATTTTAAAGATTTAAACTTAATAGAAGAGAGAATTAATAAATAAAATGCATAAAAAATTATAATTTATTAATTAAAATTGGATAGGATAGAGAGCAAATTTAACTCTATAAATGTAGAGAGTCAATCTCACTATTTAATTTATATTTAAAGAATAAAGAGTCTGTTGAATTTATTTTTATGGATAAATTTATAATAAAAGTTTGGGTCATATAAAGAGTCATTTAAACACTTCTAAGTCGTGGAGATTTAGAAATTATTTAATTATAAAATTGATAATTGGTAGTATAAATTTTAAAATTAAATTTAGATTACTTTTTTCTATATTATTATTTCGTATATCTTTTATTTAAATCTATCAATTAGATTTTTTGATCTCCATACTAGAAATCCTAACTACGCGTAAACTTTTCCCCTTATTTATATATTTTTATCATAGCTTATCATCAATTTAATAATACGAAGGTTATGGTTAGGAAAAAAATGTTAATAACAAGGAAGGGATATGGTTGTAAAAAATGTTAAAAAAAAAAAAAAAATGTAAAAGTGGGCTAATCATTGACACACTAAACCAGAAAGAGGTGCAATTTGTTTCTGGCACGGATCAATCACTCCAGTTCAATCTTTACGGACTAATCAGTTTTCTGATTCGACCGTGGGCTTCGTCTTGGGCTAAGAATATGAGAAGCAGCTACTTAAATGAGCGGTGGTACCACTATACCCTTCATCTGATGCATAAAATGGATTTGTTTTTTTTTTTGGGGTATTTGGGGGGTGTTCGGGCCTAGGCATGGCAATATTCCCCAGGGTTTCAAGGACCCGTCCTGCCCCGCCCCATATGGGGCGGGAAAGCCCCAGTTTTTTCCGGGATAGGGGCGGGGGTGAGGGGTTGTTTTAATCCCCGTCCTCGGGGATGGGGCGGGGGTGGGTGATGCCTTTCCCCTGACCCGCCCCTTATATAATATATAAAATTAAAAAAATGTATATATATATTTACTTTTCACTAATATCCCTATATTTCACCTAATTACACAATCATCCTATCTATATAAACCTATATTTTCCTAATTTGCCTCACCCTAAACAATTGAACAAGAACAAACCCTGACCCATATTTATGTATAATTGATTATATTTAAACGATTAATTTAAGTGTTTATCATGTGGACGAGAATTAACTATTGTATTTGGTAATGCTCAAATTAATTTATGTTTATATAAAATTAACAGGGCGGGGATGGGCCTCCAACATTCCCCTTTGGGGCAGGGAAGGAGAATTCCTTTTATCCTCGTAACGGGGATAGGGCGGGGGTGGGGAATGATTTTGAGGGTGGGGATGGGTACGGTGAATGAGATCCCTGCCCCGTCCTGCCCCATTGCCATGCCATCGGGCCAATTTATACATATTTCGTTTATTTCTTCAAGACTCTGAAGTTAACGATCAGCTAAGTCTCTAATGATTACCCCTTATTAATAGTTGTTAGGATTTGAACTCAAAACGTCTTAAGTTTTATACCAAAAAGTTTCAAACGAACTCTTAAATTACCTAAAATAGGAAACTCGTTGTGAACACAACCTTATTTCAGATAAAATCAGTTTACAATCATCTAATAAGATCATCTTCAAGTCCATTATGATTTAAAAAATTAAAAAATTAAATCTTAAAAATCTTTTCCTGATTTGGGTTTATCTCTTTCTTATCATAATTTTATATTTTTACTGATTTAACAGTTAACATAAATGCTCGTATAATTATTTACAAGGGGAAAATCACGAGAAGAAGGTAAAAGTGAAGATTGGCAATTCCGAGAAATAGGATCAAACTGGTTTTTTTATGCAGAAAACAATGGTGTAAGTTTATAAGATTACAAAATGGATTACGATTAGAATTTAGAGACAGCGAAAATTAATGTGGAAAATGTAAGTTAGCCAAATGACAAAATCTACCTCTCTCTTCATGCAATGTCTCTATCGAGAAACACAAGAGGACATGGAAATTTTAATGAGAATACAGATTTCTCCCACACAAAGAAACAAAAAGTTTAGCTCTGAATCAAATCAATTGCATATATGCATTGAACCCACAAAACAAAACACTTCTCGCAGCTTTTCTCTAAAATACAAAAAATTTCTCACTTTTTCCAATGTCCTTTGCACCTCACACAAAGTCAACCTTCCATTATTTTTCTTACCCAGGAGAGAAAGGGATTATGTTTTTCAATATTGTCAACCATCCAAGGCCATCACTGAAGTTCAGTTCTTTCATGTTATATCTGGTAAACCAGTAACCAAACTTTTGTCTGTGAGGTTGTAGAGACCATTAAGACATTTTTATTTATTTATTTTTTAATTTCCGAAAGGAGTGAAACCCTAAAAAACCATAAGTGCTTTACAAGATAACCTTATCAAAACTCTCACAAGTTATGCTGAAAGGGAGATAAAATACAAGCGTGAATAAAAGCTACACACTAAAAAACAAGGGCAACTTTACCGAAAAGAAACAAAAAACGACTGCCCACTACAACTACAAGCTCAAGAGTACTGTACTGGTTATGAGCAACTAATTAAGTATTGATGATCCGTCAACGTTTTGAGCTTCTTCAATTATCCTAAGCATGTGGTGAACTGCTCCTGCTATGTCATCTACAGAAGTAAGCTGGCATCCTTCTTCAACCTGCATTTACACCATCTTTAGATTTTAGCCTAAAACTCTTTGATTTTCTATAATTATAATACAAGACATAATTTCTAAACTTGGTAAACAACACAAATAATACTAGGAAACAAACACTTTTCTGCCTTCATTTCTGTCCATAGGACAATAATTGTTATCTCTTTTATGTATAAGAACACCGTGGAATTTATTATGAGGTATTAATGAAGCATGAAGATTTAAATGTGCATATGATTGGATAAGTACATTAATATTGTAATAAATTGTGACCTACCTTAGCACTGATAGAGTAGAGGACCAACGGGTCAATAGTGGTGACATTAAGGTGAAGAATGGAGAGATGAAGTGAGTGAAAACCAGCAACTAATTTAGAGACGTGTCTAGGGGTTCTTCGAGAAAGGATTCGAAGATTTGCATGAGTTTCAATCAAAGTGACCTCGATATCAGCTATGGCTGCTTTACCCTTTGATGTAAACTTGTTAGGGATCTGAGACCATGTGTATTGAGGATACACAAAAAATTGTGCAAAAGGTGGTGACACCATTTCAGAGACAGAGAAGCTGTTGTCTTTGTTAGCGGCTCCTGTAGTTTCTCTATTTTGCAGTAATTGGAGCTTTTGAGCCTCAAGTGACTGCAAAAGATGCTCTAGTTCCTTCAGAAACTCTATAGCTCCTCCTACAATGGAAGCCTGGTCACCCTGTGCCCAAAAAAATCAACAGAAAATCTAATTACTCAAATTTGAAATTAACTTACAAACATACTAGAAAGAATTAATACTTTAATATCCCGTGTAAAAGCTATAAAAAAAGAAAAGAAGTCCTTACCAGTGTTTTTACGTTGTTTTCACTGAGAATTAATACTTTAATATCTTAATTCCAGCTTGAAATACAATGAGTTAAAGTAATGGTGGAACAAAAATCTCCATTTCTACTACCTGTTCGGCCTCCTATTTTAGTGAAGAGGCAACAAATTTTCCTTTCATCTTACCCAAAAAAAAAAAAAAACTGAACATTGTGTCATATTTGACTGGCTGAAGCTATGAACCAGCTCAATTCCTTCAAAGGATCATTAATGCTATATCAACACCCGTGGAGCGAAACTTTTCCATGGAAGTTTACTTGCATAGAGCCAGGTAAAGAGATGAGAAAGAGATGAAAAGAAACAAACCCTTTGCACATAAGTTTCAGGCATGAGTGAACGCAACACAGCAAGATGCTCATTCATTTGTTTACGGCGGTTTCTCTCAACAGCAATGTGTGTCATTCTTTGTGTCTCAGCTTCCTCTTTGTTTTTGCAAACTCTCGGCTTTCTTCTCCTCTTCTTCCTCCCTTGCACCGCCAGGTTCTGCTTCTTGTCCATGGATTCGACTCCCACACTGCGACGTCGTTGAGTCATTAGTGAAAATGAAGAGGCATCCAAAGCACCAATATTAAGAACTTGGTCTTGAAGGACTTGAGGCGTCGTGCAATTATTTCCCAATGAGAAACCAGCAGCAGTCTCTAAAGAATCTTGGCTGCTATGTGGGATTGCAGAAATAGTGTCATAGATGATAAAGTTTAAGAACTCATTAGAAGAAAGAGCTTCAAGTGTCATTTCTTATAAATGAAACCTTAATGACTTGACACTATGAACTTCTTTCATACTTCAATATATAATACCTAGCTGGAAAGAATTCTTTATTGATGAACTTGAGAGAGAGATGGTTAAAATGAGATTAGTGGGGAGGAAAATGAGGAGAGAAGGGATGTGTTGCACGTGAGAGGAGCAGAAAAGGTGTTGTGCTTTTCTAATTACAAAAAAGTGAAGGAAAAAGAAAGAGGCTACTCACTACTCACTCCCTGCTAGTTTTGGTTTCCCTTCCCGATTTCATAGATGCTGTTGACGCTACTGACACAGAGAGTAGGGATGGATGGGGGACCCAAATCTATATAGAAATATGCATACAAACAACACCAACAAGCTGTAGGAAATCTACTCCTCACCTCACATTCAAATCTGTGTTGAGCGCTTAGCAGGGAAACCGCTGTCTCATCACCTTCTCTTTTTGGATTCTAATTACTTAATCAAACAAATTAGAAGTGTTAACATGTGCTTCAAACCCACTTCCACTTCATACTTGTCACCATTTCTCTACAGGGATATCTCATCCGGACCATTTATCACATGCTTTGCTGATGATCAAACGGTGAATATAGATGGATATGTAGGGGAAGTAAGTGTTGTGAGCAATACCTTGTAGTATGATAAATCTTTGATTAATTAGGTGGGTGATTAGAGTTAGATTAGGATTTAGGAGTGTGTTTTAGCACTTCCATGATCGCCCGACAGACATACAGAAGGGTCATTGTGATGTCAATTGTCAGCCCCTGCTGGTGTTGAGAAAAGAGAAATCTAAGAAGTGGAAGCAGTCAGAAATTGAAAGACTACAATCTTTCTGAAAATTTCATTAACCCCCAAAGAGAGCTTTAATATGGCTTTATTTATTTATACGAAATTAATGATTGATTAAAGTACAGGAAGATTTTATCATTATGGCCAAGGACTCTTCTGTCAAAATGCAATTTAACTTGCTTCAAGTTCCAACCATCAAACATGCAAAATCAAGAGATTTTTAGTCGGATCACAATCTTTTCATATCATAACAAGGTTAGCACTTGAACACAAATATGATTCAAGAACAAAAAAAAGTTCTCGTCAACAATCATGATGCTCATATTAATGGTGGGATGCATGAGCACTCTTCTTCTAGTAAAAAAACCCAAATGCATATTACAAATAATTAGGCCTTTAATACAAGTTAAATGAAGAAAATGGCTAAATTGAAGATGTAAATGGTAGTATATATAAATATTATTTTAGTCCAATATAATTAATCCAACGATGAATATGTATCATCCTGACCAAATAATGAACATATATATATATATAACCTCTCTATTGTGATATTATAGATATAAATAATCTCTATATAGTTATAAAAAATTTTATTCTCAACTTGGGATAGTTATAAATAAGAATAAACTCTACACTGTTATAAGTTATAATTTTTTTAATTCTCGTCTTAAGAAAGTTGCCTCCACATAATAATAATTATTTGTATATTACAAAAAAAATATGTTATGTTATATTAAATGTTTAAGATGAATAAAATATTTATTTAAAGTTGTTTAGGATAATGATTTAGTATGAACACTTTCTTGTTGAAGCCAAAATATGTCTAGCTTCTCATACATGTTTAGAGTTTCTTGACAAGAAATTTTTTTTATATCCGTAGTATCCTTCTTAAGATTATTTCTCTTATCTTCTTATCTAACTGCAACAATGATTACTAAAACAATAAATTGAAATTCCAATATATACTATTAAAATATAAATTATAAAATAAGAAATAAATATGATAATTTTTATAACTATACTTTTATTAAGTTATAACCTATTTGTAAAAGTAATTAGTCTTTTCCTGAGTTATAACCTGTTTGTAACAGTAATTTAGTATTTTACTGTATCTATGTATATATTTGTGCATGTAAGAGAGAGAGAAAAGAGAAATGAGAGACAGGAAGAGGGAAAAACTACAAACAGTGGGAAGTGTTGCCTTATCTGGCGACGAAGACTGATGGAGGTTTTGTCGACCTTGGATTATGGTCCAAACTGTCAGCCTTTTGCAGACGAATCCATGTGACCTTCGTCTTCTCTTTCAAACCTATCTTATGTTATGTTATACCAATACCAATCATCCACAATCAGTGGCGGATCCAGCCATATGTCCCAGCCTCAAATTTTTTTTTTAATATTAATATGTAAATATATATATTTTGGCTCACCCTAAAAAAAATATTAGTGGACAAAAATAGTAATGTATAATAAATTTTTATTTTGGTCAATCCTAAAAGAAATTCATGGATCCGCTACTGTCCACAATCTACATTCTACACTATTTTGTACTTCTATTTTTTCTTAGTATTACTGGCTAAATTGTTCTTAAGCTTTTTGGCTTGTGTTGTTCTTTTGTACACTCATAAAAATACATGATATTAGATGTCAAATGCATGAAAACAAGATACCATGAATATTAGAAGGAGATTGAGATCGAAGCTAGTTTTGGAACCAAGAGGAGGTGGATCTGTCAATAACCCCATCAAAGCGACTTTATGTCTAATCTTTCTGCCTATGAAAATCACTGATTTTGGATCCATTTTCTATTCTTTATTGGTTTTAATTGTGGGAAGAACAATACTTCACACATCTGCATAAACTTATTCTCATACCAATCACTGATTTCAAGTCCTTTTTCTACCCTTTTCCCAGTTTCCAGTTGACTAATTTTTCTCATATTTTCAATTTTCATCTCCTATAATGTCTTTTGTTAAATAGAAAGAGAAAATATATAGACATGAAAGCATGAAAGTCTCAGTTGTAGAGAAATTTGTTATTTGGCTATTCTCAATCAGCAGGCATATGGGCATACGCAAAACACATGCGGATGTGCCATAGGCACAAATAGCTTTCAGTTTTCATATGATCAATGTTATCCTATTTTTTCAAGAATGATATGGTCCTGGCACAGTGGTGGTACTGGTATTACTAGCATTACACATTACACTGCATGAAATCTAGGTTAAATTTTATAAAACATTCCGAGGCTGATAAAGTTTGGCAATTTCTAGCCAAAGATGTAAAGTTTAGATTGACAATTTTGCTTAAAGAGATTCTTGTAACGTATAAACTATGGATCTTCATCTTACAAAACAGTATCTAATGGACCTGTGGAAGCCTACCAAAATTTTAACCTCATGCCACAAAAATCTGCAATCGCAATGATCATAGACAGGGTAAATGAGTACATAAACAAGATTAAAAGAGCTGAGATCGATGAGGCAGACAGCGTATCTACTGACATGTTTACCAGCCCCGTGAACAGATTGGCCTGTAGAAGCAATTAGTACGCCACAGATTATTGTTTTGAGCTTGGGAAGTAAGACAAGCATTTTAGAAATGAATGTTAGACAGGTAGTTATGTTCACCAGAAGAAAAGAAGCCAGTAAATTGCGGTTAAATGCTTCTTCAAGTGCTGTAATTCTGCATACAGGGAAGTACTGAGATAACATGAAGCCTCCTAAAAGCTGAAAAATGAGCAAACTTTAGTTGGCTATGCATCATATAAAAAAATGAAAAAAAAAAAAAAAGCTCGAAAAAAGATCCTACTATGAGAACTGAAAAGTAGACGACAATGCATTGCCTTTTCAGCAATTACATGTCACTCTATTCATAAACAGTGATGTCTTAGATTTCAAGAAGACAGCTTACAGATCATCTGTCTTAAATTAGTCATATAAGCATATGTTATTATTGTGTTATACTCCATCTTAGAAGATATCCAAAGGCATAATGCCCGTGCGCACACCTAAGACAAACCAAACCAGTGATGTCTAAATTCAGTAAATAAAATTAAATTATTGCACATTGTGCAACAGTTAAATGGCTTGAATAATAAGTAAAAATAATAAGGTTCAAGTTCCTATAATACATATTTCATCGACATATACAGAGTTGCATTCAGAGCAACGATTTATTTGTTGCTGTATTCTTCCATTCCAACTTCTGAACACCTTTCCCCTTGAGTTTTCCAATAGACGCAGACCAGATGCAGCATTTGGCTTGGTTCCTTTAATTTATATTCAGCATGGGGGTTGGTCCCAATTTTAAAGTAGCATTTAAGCAGATCCTTCTTAAATAGTACACCCTACAATCCTGTAAGGACTATTCATAATCTCAATTGCTGCTGACCAGGAATTTTCATCTTTTGCAGGTCAGACATCTTAATTTTTTTCTTGTCCTAGTTGCAGATGGCATGCCCTTTATTAGTATATTAAATCAGCTAAGGGATGGTAGAATAATGTTTCATCTGAACTAGGTGCAGAAAAAAGGAAAGAAAAAGAATGCTGTCATAGATTACCTGCTGGCTACTGCCCTGAAAGGTGCTAGGAATGAGGGGAGCTACCATGACTCACCACAAATTATATGCATCTCTAATACTGACATAACCTAAGTTCAAATCTAAATTATTAACACAAGAAACCTGTTTCAAGATTTTCAATACTTCTAACTAAATAGCACTGCTCATAATGAAGCATTAGCAGGATATATTTTCAACAGTTGGCATGATAATAATCAATACAAAATGACCCATTATTTCCATACATACAGAGTACATATATGAAAATAATGGTCCAAAAGAAAAAAAAATAAAGGAGAAAACGGTTCAAGACAAACAAACTGAACTCAAACAAGGTACATGCAGGAACACATTGATGATTTGAAGTTTAAGAAACAGACTTCAAAACACAAAATAAATTTTAGATCCTGTTGGTGTTCAGTGACAGTTTGATTTTTGTCAGAAACCAAATATCAGATGAACAATAAAAATTTCATCAAATAAAAACTTAAAATTAGAGTGGAAATGTGAATAACCTGTAAATTCAGAGACAACACCCAGGTAACATAGGCCAGGTTGCACTGCAAAAGTAAATTTTGTTTTATTTTCATCAATATTGTAGACAACAGCTCTTCATAGAATCAAACGAGAACAGCAGATTGTACCATTCTGCGTGAAACTCTTTCAATGTGCCTGTCCACAAGCAAAGTCAATATCCTGCAACAGGCAATGCGGAAATGGGTTAGAAGGCCATCTTCAGGCCAAACATGTTGATGGTAAGGATCCAGATTATATCATGATGACACATCTTTTCAAACAGAAGATATACCACAACAGAAGAGCAACAAGCCAGACTTTAATGAACGTCACATTATTGCTTCTTAGCGTGGAATGAGAACCTTTCCCAAAAAAAAGATAGTGGCCCAAGTGGACGGCAACAAGATAGAGGCCCCAATATCCTGAGAACAATAATAGTCAATTACTAGACAAAGATTGCTTACCAGAAAATTACTTTGAATAATTTTTTTTTGTCAGAGATAGTGATGACTGATACTACTAAGAAAAGTTTACACGACTGAATAGATAAAAATACCACTTTTTTTTTTTTGTCTCTAATAATAGGAAAATAAAATTCCAAGACAGAATATACGCAAAACACAAATAAAACTACTTTTTCTTAAACTTTTGACATTTCCGTTATTAAAAAACTAGAGTTAGCTTGCCACCCGACGCTATGGAGTAATAAAGCTTCACAGTGAAATGAGGTCCCTAGATGGGGATTCATCACATCCCACGTTATTAGTGAATGACAGCTTAAACTAACTCATAAATCTTGGGTTGCCTCCAATAAATAGACATATCCGCAGCTTTCAAGAAAAAAATATGGTAATTGTTCACCTATGCAAGAAAATATTTCTAGTTTGTTGACATTCAAGGCTACGAAAAAGGAAGATAGGGAGAATGCTTATACAGTGGACAAGTCCAAACACCTGGGAATTATTTGACTTAAAATATCTTATATCCGTATCTATACAATAATAAGGAAATAAAAGAAGCCCTGACAATACTTTTAATGTCCAAATCTTAATGTGTCTGTTTTAGTTTTGATTTTTTATATCTCATAATCTGCTTACTCCAGTTTGGTTCAGATTTTTGTTAAAACTAAACTAAGCCGCCCCATGAACACCCTACCATGTGCTTTACAAGTGGCCTATGCTGTCAATTCTGCTTTTTAAGCCTTATATATGTTTGGCAAGAAATCAGCTGCAAGTCAAACAAAGCACTGAAATAATTTAACAAATTTTGTAGAGACTACACATTAATAATGTGCAAGGACAAGCATGCATGGCCAAATGAGCATGCATGCAGATGCAACACATATTTTTATTCTCTGCTCATCAATATAACCATTAGCTCCATCTAATACCATGCAGCCTTCCATTGACACCAGATTTAACATAATTACAATTTATCCCCTTGCTTTTTCACCAGATTAAGTAATTGTCAAATGTTCAGAGGGTCTCTTTAAAATTTTCAAACCTTCCCCAACCAGCCCTAAATCCACCTAATCCTGGTATGAATTGGATCTGATCCCAAGAACTCTAAAGTGCATTTACATATATTTCTTTTCCTTACCTATTAGCACTAAAATATTTCATAATATCCAAACATCTCACAGAAAAAAAGTAAGAATCACAGATGCCATAACTTCTGTCTAGATGCACAAACAACTCACAGATGAAAGTACAGCTCCAATTTGAAAGACAATATATAGCATAATCATACAAATCTCACCGAATAGGCTAAAAATCCCTTCCTTGTTTTGGCTTATGATATCTCTTCCCCTTTCATTAGAAAGCAGATACACATTTAATCCATGATTCAACCAACTCTGGTATCCTGAAGAAGTCCAGTAGTTTGGCAAACATTAATCAGAAATGAGTTTCCAGAGGCATAACTAGAAATAGATATTGAATTGAACACATACCTATTAGAACCACAGAACCAAGAATTCCACAGTACTTAGGAGGAACATTTACTATAGATGTAAGAATTGATACACCAGCAAGTGTGAAAAAGAAATTCCAGTGCACTCCATATTCCGCAACATGAACCTACAGGGTTAAAGGAAAACTAGTTTCAGGTACAAAAGCATAATGAGGATACAATCATAACATTCAACCCTTAAGCAGGCATAGATATTAAACTACATTCCATGAATGACTAGAAAGTTGAACATCAGTACTTGCCAACTGCTAAGGGTTTTAGGTCAGAAAGATGTAAATGACAAAATTCATATGAATAACAGCATACTATGATTGCTTTTCAGTGATTGCAACAAGAATTTGCCAAGTACATACAGCATATGAACATATTTGATCAGTAGCTTATAAGGGTAAGGATAGTGTTGAGGTTTTCAATCTCAAATTAGCAGAAGATAATCCTCTTCTCTTCTAGTTCCGGTAATAAGATTACAATATCCAACAGAAATTCATTTTTATTTTATTTTTTTAAAATATCAAACCGAAAATTAATTTTTCGAAGAATATAATTGCACAAATTACTTTACACTAAGATAGATAAATTTTTGGTCAAATAGAAGAAATTAGAGGTATGAAGCTTTTCTCTCTAGATGGGGTAAGAAATACCAAGTGTCAGTGTAATCTAAGCTTGCAGTACATACTACTTACCTCTGTTCCAGATCGCAAGTGGCTGAAAGTTGGACAAGATTATGAGGAATTTTCTTTGGAAAGGTACGAAGAAGGCAAGAAACCTCACTTAGATTCACTTAAATCTACAGAATCCCCTTTCACCTCTAAAAGAAATCCCTCGTTATCCCTGTACATGGTATCCTTTTAGTCTCATGCCCGTCTATGGAATATCCCACTTGTCTAAGAAATCCCCTTATAGTCTACTGAAATACAATCAAATCACTTTAACCTCTTAAAGACTTCCCAGATAATCCCTCTCTTCTTGTCTGAGGAATCTAACCCTAGACCTTCTTGAAGCAAACCACAGGTCATACCACTCAACTACCCTCAAGGTTGGAAAACATAATTTACTAAAGTACCTTTTTGGTTATTATACCTTTTTTCATATGATGCAAATATATAAAGCAATATCTTTGTAAATGCAGGAATGTAGATAATGATAAATATTAAAAAGATTAAAAATATACATATCTTCTACCTGATAGTCCACGCCCGTTGTAGAAACAAGCCGAACAAAGCCTAGCAATATCAGTGGACTAGTCGTTTTAAGTGCAGTTTTCCAATTTCTGCAGATAAACAAGCAAACTTCTGATATCATCGTAAATTCATGATAAGAGTTATGCAGCATCAAGTAATCAATGTATTTCAATAACCTAAACTACAAATCCAGCACTCGAGTGGGAAAATGAAAACTGTTGCCAGAATTAAAAAAATAAACCAAGGAATGAACATTAATATTAAGAAAAGAAACTATTATCGTTATAATATATTCTCCCAGTAACTTGCATTTTAGCCCACAACAATTTGAGGTGGGCATCAAATAAATGAATTCCCACCCTGCCATTACATAATTTCAAACTACCACTACAGTTAAAAAATTCCAGAAAACATACACATTGAGGACCAATATATTCATTTTGAATGGAATTGGATCAATGGACAACAAGAAATTAGATGAAAATGACCTAATTCAAGTCACATACCAGATTCAATTGCTTAATCTGCACTTGATGTGCACTTGGTCTTTACTAGGATTCAATTTCTCTGTTTATCAATAAACACATACTGGCGCATATATGCACACATATAAATTTACATTAAAAGTAAAATACAAATTAATAATTATACACCGAGGATAAGTGATAATGAATAAGAGGAATTCCACAAAACATAAGCCTTGAGCAAATATCGTTCTCATAATACTCTTGATCTTTCTCCATTTATTCATGTTCATAACAAGAAGTTAATATCAACATGGTCAACAATCAAGATAGTAAACAAAGATGGACTCACATTGATAAGACATTTCGTGCTTGCCGCGAAACTATTGCATTTGCTACTACAAAGGAGCCAACCCCAAGATCCATCTGAACCACTCAAAATAGGAATACAGTGTCAGTTGAAAAGAGAAACATATTACTATGAAATAAATAAATAAAAAGGTAACTAAATCATAACATGGAGAAATTCAGATTCCTTAGCCCACAGTTTGGAATCCTTATTCCTAGTTATTAGAGTATAGGAATCTTCATTTCATTCCAGGGTGGACTCCACCAACCAAACATAACAATAGAAGTTATTACTGACTCAGCATTGACCAGAATGTGAAACTAAATAAAAGCTACTTTACAAAGTTTCCACAACTGAAGGATAACACCTGAACTGAAAAATGACGGCCTGAAGCAGTCTAATTAATATGTAACAACCACTGCAACCTAAAAATGGTAAAGCTTTGACCAACATTTTCCCATTGACAACTTGGTTTGAGATAGCTGGAATTTTACCACATTGTGTTAAAACATTTTCTCAATGCAATATATTTCTATAGCAATATTTAGATCCTGATTAGGACAAAATTAAAAGTTTAAAGAAGAAATAACTTTTTTGTTAACTTCACTTACAAGCCCTAACTAGCACTACTAAACATTAAGACATTCGAATTGATACAGTGGTAGTTATTCTCTCCCAGAATATACAATTTATTGTTTCAAAGATTCTATAGCAAAAAAATGCTAAACTCTTAAATGTCCTCTGTTTTGAACTTAAAAGTAGCAACTAGACTTTCATGCTCAAAATTTTCGCTCTTTTCAACTTTAAAAAATCTAAGACTGATGTTTTAGACAACAAATATCATCATTTTAATTTGTATTGCTTACAAGACCTACTTTTACTGCATGATGTGATAAATGGTGTTTTTTAGAGGTTTTCACCCAAATAACTACCATGATATGATGATGATAATTATAGAACTACTACAAATAAATTTAGTACTACTTGTAAATACTTACCAGACCAGTACCATAAGTCTCAGTCTTAGCATTTTCTCTGGGAAATATTCTGAAATCGACGGCCAAGATACACAAGCATGTCATAAACATCTGCAGCAATTATCCCCATCACAAGACAAAAAGGACATGATGCAAATATAGTTCATACCAAATAAGACAGTATACAAAGTATGAATAAATGATATATATACCGTGCAAACTCTGTATGATGATATAACAGGCCTAAGAGAATGAGCACCTTCTTCCACATTAGGAGAAATAACAAATCTGTATGCAGCAATACCCAATGTTTAGTCAGTAAAATGAATTATAGCCACTCAAGCACATGCGTTAGTCTAAATTCTGAGTTCTCTCAGCTCAAAAATAAATAAATAAAATTCATTGATCTCTTCCAAGCTTTGGGTAAAATGTAGACAGAAATTATTGCTTCATAACTCATTGAAAACCTCCCTAAAATGATGAAACCATCACAACTCTCCCCTACACTTGTAAGAAACCTCTTATTATAAAATGTGTCGCAAACCTCCTCAGTAGGTAATGGTATCTACCAATATTTCAAACTAAACTGGTCCTTCTTTAAATATGCAGAAACAACAAAAATTACCAACTTAAAAAATAAATAATTAAACTAAATTAAATAAGCACATGACTTACAAGATCTGACCTTTTTCCTGTTAGCGAAAAGAACACTAGCAACAACAAAAACCATCCAAGATAGGCCCATTCTGATAGAACCTGTTATAAGAAAGTAATTTCCGAAGCAAAAACAGTACAACAATTAAAATACAGAAACAAGTATCAGCAAAAGAAACACAACAAAGAAAAGAACTTACGGTGAAAAATAAAAGCATGGGAAAGACAATGAAGAAAAAATCCACAACAATAGTAGCAATGTAAGCCCAAAAATTCTTGGAAGCTAAAACTAAATTATCATTCTTCTTCAATGACGTCTCATCTGAACCAAGAAAAAAAAAAAAAATTTGATGAATCACACGTTAATGTTGATCAAACACAGAGATTAAAATTTAAATTTAATTTACCAATTGAGTGATAGGAGTTGAAGGACTGCCGCAGAAGTATTGAAGTCTGAAAGCAAAATAAAATGTAAATCAATCAATGAATGAAGCAGTGAGAACAAATCTAAAAAAGCAAATGTGCAACAACTTACAGGTACAATAGCTAGAAGCACAAAGGTTTTGGTAAAAGAAGATCCGGTCAAATTGCTGACGAATCTGAAGAGAAGAGAAAAAAAGAAGAAAAATTTAGATGAAATGGTGAAAGAGTTGGAGAATTAATTGCGAGAGATAGGGTGCGTACTGTTCTTTGAGTTGCTTATTGAGATTGTGAGACGCCATGAACGCAAACCTGAAAAGCTTGTGTAGTCAAATATTTCCCTTTATGAATTAAACATTTCATCAAGGTAGTAGAAAATTTATATCTCGAGGGAATACCAAGGCATATAAATAAATAAAGAGTAAAAGACAATTACCCGCTCAAGGTTTGGCGTATTGCCCGTTTTAACGCGTGGTTTCATAAATTGCAAATTCCCACCCAATTTTAAACCCTGTTAAGGTAAATTTTGCTTTGACCAGGTTTGACTAATCAAATACTTTCTACCCCTTATTATAATAATGAGTAAATTATAAATTACTTTCCATGCATCAAATTAATAGAATTAGAAAATAATTATCTTCCTTTCAAATTTATTTCAATAATACCCTCTTTTTCAAACTTTTTTTTTCTGCGACGGGTAGATTTCGGTAGCTAGATCTGGCCATCGTGATCTTCTTTGCCTCTCTCTCTTCTCTACATCTTTCTCCTTTCCTCTTCTCTGCAACGTCCAAATCTCGGTAGCCAAATTTGGTTGTCGTAGCCACATTCTCTCTTCTCTTTTCTCTTTTCTCTCTCTCTTTCTCCTTATCTCTTCTTCACCTGTTTCTCTTTCTTTTTCTAATTTCCTCTTTTCCACAGCAGCTAGATATGGCCATCAATGGTGTTGGTGGTGGTGGAGTTGGAGTTGGAGGCAAAGAGGAAGGGTTAGGTTGTGGGAAAAATTTGAGATGTGGAGATTTATTTTGAAATTTTATTAATTTGGGAGAGAGATTAGGGTTTATTATTTTTTGGATAAAAAGACCTAAATACCCTTTTAACTATTAAATTTAGGCTCCGTTTAGTATACAATTTTTCAGTATTCTATTCCCTATTCTATCCAACATACACATTTACTTTCTTATTCTCAAAATATTATTCTATAGTATTCAATTTTTTAAGCCCCCTAAATTTGTTCATTTAACCAAACACCCCCAAAGTTTTTTTAGAAATTGACAAAAACACCCCAACAACCCACATTTACCAGATTCCAGCTATCACCACCGGAAGCTGGTCGAACTCTGGTATAATGGCACATTATCAACTGAATCTGGTCGGTAGTGCGCCGATTTAGCCTTTTGCTACCAGATCCACAATGGATCTAGCCGGAAAAGGCCAGATTTACAACTAAAGATCTGGACGTTGCTAGACGTCAACGACAACCATATCTTTGGTCATCGTTGACGACCAAATACGGCTAGATCTGGTCAAAAAATGCCATATCGGCACACGACCCGCCAGATCCAGCCGGTCGTGTGTCGATATGGCGACTCTGGCCACCCTCCAACAGTGGTGGCCGGCTGTCCGTATTTAATGGGTGGGTTGGGGGTGTTTTTGTTAATTTTTAATATTTTATTATTGGGGTGTTTAGTAAATAAACAAACATAGGGGGTATTTTTGTTAATTTCTAAATTCTACATCATAATACCCACCCAATTTTACTCTTTTCAAAATATTATTCTAAAAAGTATCAGAATAATGGACCAAACGCACCCTTAACATTTGAAATTTAAAATTGGGTGGGACTTTACAATTTATAAAACCATGGGTGGGAACGTAGAGTCAACTGACTTTGGGTTGGGTAAATGTTTTTTACTCATAAATAATATTTTCAACATTATTTACTTTAGTAAATTATTATTTCTTTGTTTGATTATTCAATCAAAATTTTAATTATTTAGCTATTGGATAATAATTATATTAAACAAGGAAAAGATAAAAAAAATAAAAATGATCATGTTTTAATTTAAGTGATTAACTCATTAAAATGGTGGATTTCTTTAAACTGAAAGCTTTAGCAAACAAATTATCATTATAATTCTAAAATTCTTTAAATTAAATAGTTTAGTAAACAAAACTACTATGATTATTCTAAAAAGAAGTGGAAAGTAAATACTTGTGGAGTAATTACACATTAATTCATAATATTAATAAGTGACTAAAAATCTATTTAAGTTATCGATAATAAAGTGAAGTTGAAAACTGATATGGTTGATACAATAGAAAATAAATGAACAAATACAATAGAAAATAAAAAATTTAATATTTGAAAGTTCTTTAATTAACTTGTAAATACTAAATAAATTCGTCTTTTGAAATAAAATAAATTTGTTAATTATAGTTTTAATTATAATAAATTGTGGTTTGTCTAATATTTTTGGTTGTTCATATTTACTACCGGAATAAATATAGGTTGACAAACACTTCTCACAAACGCTGACGTGACAACTCGTAATTGGTCAACTCGTATTTAGTCAGGTGAGACCTATTGTTGGGTAGACAGGACCCATTACGAGCTGACAATTTACAAGTTAACACATCACGTTTGTGAAAGAAAATTAGTGAGAAGGGTTTATGAGTGTAGTATTATTGTTGCTACTGGAATAAAAATAAGTTGACAAACACTTTTTCACAAATTTCTCTCACAAACACTAACGTGACAGTTCGCAATTGGTCAACTCGCATTTAGTCAGGCAAGACCCATTGTTAAGTAGGCGAGACCTATTACGAGCTGACCCGTCGCGTTAGTGAGAAAAAGTTAGTGAGAATGGTTATTGAATGTAGTATTATTGTTGCTACTAGAATAAGATAGGTTGACAAATGTTGACATGATAGTTCGCAATTGGTCAATTTATAGTTAGTCAGACGGAACCCATTGTTGGACAGATGAGACCTATTATGAGCTGACCAATTACAAGTTGATACATTACGTTTGTGAGAAAAGAACTAATGGAAAGAGTTTATGAGTGTAGTATTACTGTTGCTACTAACGTTAAAATTTAAACTCAATGATACACTTTAAAATTCAGCACTAAATTCAACTGACTTTTGGATTGTTATGAGAAGGCCCTGGTTGTGGTTGGGTTGGCTAGCTGCCAAGAAAATTTCTTAAGAAACAACAAAAGTTTGATAACTACAATCATGAGACCCTATATTTATTTTCATCCTTGAATGATATGAAGAGCCAAAATCTTATGTGTTTTCTTATTCATTGCGGTCTCTGAATTTACGATTTTATAGGATTTCTAAACCTATGTTCTTCTTTAACTTGAGGGATAATGACAGAGATTCTCCAAATGATCCTTCTTAGTAGAGATCACACCTTTGTTCTTTTCCTCCAAATCATCAAATTTTCTGATCCACCATGCATTGATCTCTTAGCCTCGTCCATTATTTTTCTTTGAAATCTTCAATAAGGCTGCTACCTCTTTTACAGTACAAAGAAAAACAAGAACTATACACACCATGACACCATCCAGGCAACATGAGCACAGAACATATATCTATAAATATATAGATATAGATTATAACATTGAACGTTAAACATATTCAAAACAAGTTCTCTTTTACTTATCTCAATTCTTTGTTCTTCTGGGAGCTGAAGTTTTTCCTGCTTTTGTTTCGCTTTGATGAAAAAGTGACAAATTCAACAATGGATAAGATCAAGAAGAATATAGATGAAGGTTGCTTGAATGATGATTATCAAGAGATTAAGAAGCCATTAGAAGACAATTTTCATGTATCAGTTGCTAAGATAAACGAGTATAAAGAAGAAGAGAGAGTGAATTGGGCAAAGAAGCATCAGCCCCAGGCATTGAAAGACTTCATCTGCCATAAAGAGAAAGCTGAAATACTGCGGACTTTGGTATTTTTATTTTTATTTTTTACTTGTTTTCCTTTCATCTTCTTTATATGAACAATATGGCGGATTGTTTAATAGAGAAACAAAAATGATGGAGAAAACTTTTACGATTAATAGGTGACAACTGAAAAATCTAGTCATTACATAATTGAAGGCCCTCCAGGAGTCGGAAAGAGAACCATGGCTCGCGCTTTGCTTAGAGAAGATATTGGACCGGAAATCACAGAGGTATATTATGGAACATAGTTTTGACTTGAGGGATTTCGTATAATTTGGTTTTAAAGGATTTAATAATGATTCTTATTTTTGTTCAACAGCCAAGAGAGGAATTCAAATTATTTCATTTAAAGGTCATATTATAACTTTCAGTCAGATTTACCCTTCTCTGTATTTTCTAGTCCTGAAACCATATCGTTAAGAGTTCCTTCGTATTTATCATTTCAGAATGCATTACAGAAGTGGCCAGTCACCCATCTCCAACTTAAAGTGATAATATCTTCTCAGCACATAGAAGTCAATCTAGATGACCTAAAAGGTTATGAAGCGGATGTAGTCATACAGCTATTTCAGGAAATAGAAGCTGGTTTAGTGCCACAAGAAAGATTATTGCAGGGTGACCAAGCAAATTATGGAGGTAATTCAATTATGGGTTCGAATCAAATTCCACATGTTTGTAGAGCAATTACTCTATGCACGGCAGAAAAGTTGCCCAAGGATTCCCAACTTCATATCCAAAGTCTTTTAGAGACTTTTAAAGGCCATTGTAAAGTCATCTTCTGCTGCCATGATGTTTCCCAGCTTCACAAACTCAGTTCCGTCTGCAAAATTATTCAACTTCTTCCACCTTCAGAAAAGGAGGTAATTAATTGATAAGTTGATGTAAATTATTTTTACTTGTATACAAGCTGATTCTTTTAAAATTTGGAGTTCCTTTGAGACCTCTTTGAATTGCGATTTTCCAAAGTTTTTGATTGTTTCCTTGTACTCTACAGATTATTGAAGTCTTGGACTTCATTGCTGAACAAGAAGATATTGAATTGCCTCTCCAACTGGCTAAACATATGGCAGAGAAGTCTAGGAATTGCCTTCAACAAGCTATTCGTTCATTTGAGGCCACTTGGCAGTCAAAGTAAGTAAAAATAAGTTCAAAATTCATTCGTAATAGTTTCTATGTAGAAAATGTTACACAACTGATGTGCTTGCAGTTATCCCTTCAAAGATGGCCAATTTATTATGAATGGCTGGGAAGAAGAACTTGCAATGATGGCCAAAAGTATCATTGAAGAGCAAAGTCCAAAACGGTCAGCAGACTGCAGTCATCATTTGCTAATCTTCAATATTTCTGTTTCATTTCATTTATCTTGCTTCCATTTGCAGGTTGTTTATTGTCAGACAAAAGCTTATAACTTTGTTTGAGCACAATTTATCCCCAGATTTCATTTTTAGTGTAAGGCACTCTATACCCTTTGTCTATTTTTGTTCCAGTTAGATTGCAAATTCAAGAATTAAGTCATTATTTTCTTGCACTTTAGACATTGGTGGAAGAATTAGAGAAGCGTATGGATGGTCGAATCAAGCGGCAAACTGAAATTTCATACCAAGAATACCGTGCTGATGTGTGTATGAGGCTAAATTTATCAATTTCCCCCTATTTCTTTATAGAAACACTAATCTGACAATAACTTGTGTATGTTTATACATTATGCAGAATGCTTCAGGCCATTTTGATGGAGATACATTCAAGATACAGAACACAAAGAATAATTTTCAATGCTTTCTGCTCATAGAAGGTAAGCAGTTGATTATTTTTTGTGATCAGTGTATTTTCAGATTAGCCTCTTTGAAGGCTAGACACATATGCATACAAAGTACAAACAAAAAGACCATGTAACTGTAACTAAAGCATTTTTTTTTGACAGAATTCATAGCGAAGTTCATGAGCCACTACAAGTGTTACAGAGGAAGCCTGCACTAATGTGTACAAGCTTCAACTAAAGTTTCCTATAGAGACTTTACCTTTATCAGTAAGCATGTAGTAAATTAGAAATCTTGTGTCCAATGTTGGAAGAAACAAGGACGGTTACCTATGATGTTGAGCTGGAACAGTTATGTGCTATTGATGCTATACTATACATTCGCAAATACTCAAGAGCTGGCTGGAAAGTTTAGGGTCACACAACAGCTAATTTAGAGTGTGCTGAGATACTGAGCCACATCCCAAATGCAACATGTTCAATACTGATATCAAAGCGATGAAGATGCTAATAAAAGTTAGATTAAATTTGCAGTAGCAATTTACCTTTCCCTTTGCCAGAAATCAATAACCTCTGCTTAATTTTGATAAACATATATCTACATTGTTCAAAAGCTTGTAACATTATTGTATTCTGGCACATCTTAAAACCAAAAATTGGAATGTACAAATTATAAATGCAGGGTCAATATATAATCTCAAGTAACTTACAATTTGTACGGCCTAAAAGTTCAAGTGATATGTAAACAAATAGAAAATATCATCTATGATTCCATAAATTTGTATGGAATGAAAAGAGAAGAAAAGAAAAAGGTTTATTTATACTCTATCGATGTTTCCGGCAGAACAGCCTGTAACCTCACCAAAACCTCCAAAATTTCTGGTGGATGTTCGGCGTGAGAAGTCCCCAAATGCAATACAACTTCCTGTACAATTGTGCCCCCTTAATAGTTTAATCTTCATATGTTCCGGCAATCTCAATGTATGCCTATCTTCCTCTTGTCTTGTTCTAAGTATTGAGTGTCCTGTTGAGTGACACCTTGAAAATTTCTCAAAATTTTCACCTCTTTCACTTTGTTTAATTATGGTATTATTTAGAGCCCCTTGCTCAATACTTTCTCCTCTACATTCTTCCTCTTCATCTTCCTTAATAACAATGCTTACCGCATCTTCTAATGATAAATTACTTACACTGATATCATTCATGGAATTGCTACGCACATATGGTGGAGATTTTTCCAATGGAATGTCAGGTAAATCAAGATCCCTACGACAAACCGGGCAGGTTTTATGAGAACTAAGCCAAAGATCAATACATTCTTGATGGAAAACATGGTAACAAACAGTTAAAAGTCGGAGCAAATTATTATCCTCAAACTCTGCCAAGCAAATAGCACATTCCAAACCATACTTTTCGCGACGAAAATCTTTAACAGTTGAGTATTGAAACGTGGGGAAAGATTGTACAAGTGAAGGATCAAGTCCTTGATTTACAAAAGAAGAACCAACAACATTTTCTGAGGGACTATTACGATTATTCATTGAGTTAATAATATTTTCCATGAAACACCTACAAAAGTATATGGTAAAAAATCCCACAAAGAAGAACACAAGAAGAGTTACAGTTAAAACAATTGTTATTGGAGGGGCTGAATAATTTTCTGGATGTTCAGGGTAAGGAGGATAATTCGACGACATTGAAAGGCGCAAAAATGGTAGCCGAAGCCTAAAAGGGTGGCCGGAGAATGGAATGATCCGGCCTTGAGTCTTAGCATGGATGAGAAAAAAATTACAATCAAAAGGTGGCGGTTGTCATGGTGTGATAGTTGGTTTAAGAGCAATAGAAAGAACGAAAAAATGCAACATTTTTGTATGCAAATCTAATAGTTTACTTAATTTGGAAGGGTTGATGTGGGGTGGGCGGTTGATGATGGCAATTGAGCGAGTCTTACTCTTTGTGAGAAGGATGAGGTTTGTCTCAAGATTAGCATTTGTAATTTGTACGCCATTAAAATCAAATACCATTAACTTATAAATTACATTTTCATGTGGCCTGTAACACTTCCCTCCCTCCTTGTGGTTTGAGGAAGATAAATGCACCCCAAGTATTCTGGAAAGTTAAAAGCACACCCAAAAAATTGACACACTTAAAAGAATATAAAACTTCGTTTCGAAAAAGTCTTTAGAGCCTGTTTGCTTGGGGTTTATCTAGCAGTTAAAAGAGCTTATTTGAAGTCATAAACACTTCTAAAGTTTTTTTAGACTGTCTGGTGTCACGGGCTGGGAGTTTCACACTTGAAAGGCTAACCTATTAGGTGTAGAGATTCTCTCCCAATTTATAAGCCTAAGACCTCCCCAATACGTTTCCGATGTAGGATTCATTACATTCTCTCCCCACCTAATCCTATGACACCCTTGTCACAGGTGGGGGCCCTTGCCTACCCGTCCACTTCACTCTTATGTGAGCCCACAATCACCCGTGGACGCTTCTACGTGGGCGCTTGGTGTGACATCAAAAGATGGACCGGGTTTACTCTAATACCACTTGTCACGGGCTGAGAGTTTCACACCCAAAAGGCAAACCTATTAGGTGGAGGGACTTCCCCCATTTATAAGCCCAAGACATCCCTAATACGCTTCCGATGTGGGATTTGTTACACTAGTAACATTTTAAAAGTGATTGTTGGATTTAAAATAAGCTATTTTACAGCTTATGAGAGAAGCTAAAAATCTGAGATTTTCCAATAAGCTATTTTTATATATTGGACTTGATTTATTCTTGTATATTATAGTCCACACTAGTAAATTAACACTAAAAAACTCTTTTACATTTTCCTAACCAAACAAATAACAACTTTTTTCAGAAAAGTTATATTTTCATAAGCTCTTATTTAATAAACTCTTCTTGTATAATCTCTATTGAAATAAGCTACATCAAATGGACGCTTAATAACATTGTCTTATTATACTTCTCTTCTCCCATCTTATTTTATTAATTTTTTATTTTAAGTATATAATTTGATTATATTACTAATTTAGTTATATAATAAAGTGGGATTAATTAAAAGGTTTATAGAGTAAAATAATTCAAAATTTAATTTTTTTTGTTCAGTGTTAGAAGATTTATATACTTTAAAAAAAAATTATATATTTTTGAAATGATTATATATATATAGTAAAATAAAGAATTTCACTAACATCTGTCAATCTTTTGGGTGCATTTGTTACTTTCCGTAACCCTTGGGTGGCTTGAAGTTTCCCCAAATATTGAGGAGGTAAGAGTTATAAACCCAATGAATAAATTTGTACGAAGATGATGTCTGCCCGGTTTCATTTCAGCCATTTAAGTGAATTTTACTTAAATTGACCATTTGTGGTAGCTTTTGTAAACAGGAAACAAAATAAACGAAAAACGGATTCACACAAAACACTAGAAAACCAAAAACAAAACAATTGATATGGTGACTAAATGCCATTATCAAACGATGAATATATTTCAAGTTTCTTAACAGTCATTATGTATTGGTCATTCTGTCATTTATATACAAAACTCTCTGTATCCCACTTTAATTTTACCATCTTTCTTTAGGCCTGTGTTTCCTCTCATTCATGAAATGTTTTTAACAAAATTACTTCTCTGTCTTAAGATTAGCAATATATGTTTTCATTCTTAATTTTGTTACTATTTTTGCAAACCAATAACATCAATGTTTTAAAACCCGGCCCGACCCGACCAGTTGAATTGGGACCCAAAGCCTTCACCAAGTCGGGTTACAATTTTTCATATTCATTGAAAACCTTAGAAATAAGGACATCAATCCGTAAACAATTGAAGACTGGAATGTTAGAGCTTTTGAAGAGGATTGGCCGGTGACTGCAATGGTGGCAATGACATCAATTTTCGGTGAGTGAATCGATTAGAAATCGCAAAACAATGTCGCCAAAAAAGCCCGCTATCGTCAATAATTGGGGAGGCAAACAAGGGAGGGGTGAGATGGGTTTTGGTCAGGAGGCTGAGGGGAGTGTTGTCGTCACTGAAAATAGACATTTGCCGACGGCGACGGTGGTGTTTGAGGTGTTTTTGCAATATTTCAAACTTATAGGAACTTATATAATTTTCAAAGGTATTTTTGTTAGATTTTAAAACTTTGGACACCGGTTTGACCCACTGGTCAACCTCGTACCCAGCCACTTTGCAAGGTTTCGCCCCAGGTTGGGTTTTAAAACACTGCATAACATATTCCCAACTACATGAAACTGATTTGCATGTACACATACAACATGTAATTGTGTTGCCACCAAGAAGGCTGCAAGTGTTGTCAAACAGAGAGGAGCACAAAAACGAATGATCAAATTTATCATCTTATACATATTACCAGAAATTAAAGAAAAATCCTGTCAAAGAAAACTGACTAATCATCAGTGAAAAAGCCAAAACTATCATAAATTTGCCACTGATATATAATATATGTGACCTATTATTCTACAAAATTAGTTTTACCTTGCACTTAAGAATCAGAATTCAGAGCTCTGACCATGGTGTGCCTGCCAATCATCAACATAGCTCAGTAGCTTACTGCAGAAAATTCGAACATAACTCGAACCACATATAATATAGAAATTCATAGTAATTATGCATTTCATTCCAACACATTACATTCAGAAAATTATAATCATATGTTCCAAAGTTTAGGTACCTAAGGTTTACTAAAATCAGGTTTCAGAAGCCCGGGAAACGATAAAAATTCCGATTACTTGAGACTTGAGAGCAAGGCTCAAGGAAGATTAGAAGAAAGGAGATCCTGGAGTAAGATATTCTTAAAAATATATTAACGAAACAATAAAAATTTCAACTAGCAAACAATGTAGATAATAGAAAATAAATACAAGCAATGACATACATCAGGGTATAATGCTAGAACTGAGGCCGGAGTTAGCTGAAAGCTATGGCTGTGTTTGGTTTACTATTTAGAACGCTATCCTATCCAATCCTATTCAAAATACATATTTGTTTCAATATTTTCAAAATCTAATCCTATTTTATTCAATGCAAAATGTTTAGATTTTTTTAACCCTCTAGGTTTGTTAAGTTAACTAAACACCCCCAACAATAAAAACTTATAAATTAAAAAAAAAACACCCCCACCCACCCACATAAGGCTGGCTGTGATACGAGCTTGAAAATACATGTTTTGTTAGTGATTCAATTGAGTTATTTGTGG